TGTTTCATTTTCAATCAAATCTGTACTTGTGCATGTCTTCCTCCATTTAAGATATAGAAAATGTATAGTGGACAAACAATGTTCATATTAGAGCTTACAGATATCCCCTACCCCATCTATTATGGAAAATAAACGAGAAATATGAAAAAATAAAATAACTTGAAATTATAAACTTTAATAAAGTTGTAGCTGTTCTATATAAATGTTATGTGTTATTTAATGTTTTTAAGATATTTCAGAACCTTTATTGGTATTCAAGTGGCTAGAAATGAGACATTTAAGGACAAAACTTGGCATTTTTTAATCAATGCTGCTTTCAGCAATAACATATAGATCCTTATATCTTGAGTTTTATGCTGACTGGTTAATGCATTTTTGATTAAATCTGTTCTTGTACATGTCTTCTTCCATTTAAGGTATTGATAATGTATGGTGGACAAACAATGTTCATATTAGAGCTTTCAGATCTCCCCTACCCCATTTATTAGGGAAGATGACCGGAAAATATAAAAAAAATAACTTCAAATTACCAGTATAAACTTTAACAAAGATGAAGCCATTCTTTATATGTTATTGAATGGTATAATTACTGTTTCAGGACCTTCATTAATATACTAGTGTCCAGAAATTAGACATTTAATAACAAAATTTGGCATTTTTCATCAATTGATCATCATTTTCACTTTTATCAATAACATATACTGTATTTGCTTTTATCTTGAGTTTTATGCTGATTGGTTGATGGATTCTTGAACAAATCTGTTATTTTGCCTGCCTACCTTGATTTAAGGTTTTTAAACATGTATATTGGACAGCCTGTCATTATATTAGAGCTTACATATCTCCCCTACCCCATTTATTTTGAAAAAATAACCAGAAATATAAAAACCAAACAATTTCAAAGTATAGACTTTAACAAAGTTGTCGCTATTCTAGATCAATACTATGTATTATTTGATATTTTTCAGATGTTTCAGGAACTTCATGAGTATACAAGTCCAAAAATTAGCATTTAAAGTTGAGTTGCAAATGGGACGGGTATTCTCTATCTTTGTCTATTTGGGCTTTCTGGTAATAATACGTTGCAAACTGCTCATGAATCTATGCAATGTATAGTAGAACACTTGGAATATATTTAAATGAAATGGGGTATAGTAGTGTGATAATTATTATAACCAGTGATCAAGCCATATTGGTTGAATTCCCTCATATCAATTGCAATGTTGTCAAAGGCTTGGTGATTTTCATATTACACTACTAAGGGTGGTGTAATTAGGAAGTTCATGAAGGATATTGGACATGGGGATATTTTGGTAATTGCAAATATTGTGAAATGAAGAACAGCCAACAAGATGATTTTGGAAAGCATTACAAAATGGTAAGCTGTCTTTGGTTTGTGAAGGAATGTTACTGTATCTCTAAAATCGGATGAATTTCACTTATGGCAGAGCTGATATTGAACTTTGCAAAACTGATAGTTGCAACTTATAGACAATCTATCAAATACTGATCATGCAGAAGTTGACACTCTCCTTATGGTCCATGTCTTTTACAGTGCTGAAGACAAGACAAAGGAATTCAATGTTGAGCGAATTTGTATTCAGCCTAATGATACAGAATGTTGCTTGCAAAGAAGGATGAGAGTTAAAATGAGCTCTTCAAGTTTCTTATGTCCTTCAAATAAGCATTCTAAATTACTATGAATCTCAAAGTGCAATACCTATTTGAAGATATATCAAAGATTGGTGTCTTGTACCAGTACTCACAAACAAACCCTCGTAGCAACACAAGAAACATGTGTCCTTGGCAATTCGGAAATGTAAAAAGGCAAAAGGCAGAGAAAATTGCTAATACAAAGTTTCTAGTCAAGGGTGTAGTATTGCTACCTGTCCATGTGGCAATAAACAACACAAGTGCACATTGTTGGACAATATTTTAGGATGAGTTTCTCAGAACTATAAAAATTATTTAGAGATCTTACATATCTGAATATCTTGTGGTGTCATGAGACATTTAAAATTACTGAAATGCAGCTCTAACGTAGAACCAGGGAGATATTAAAAATCAGGCTGTTGCTGGATTAAGTTCGAGAGTTGTGAACAATCATGTTTTTATATAGACATATTCTTTGATTCATACATGTATGAGAGTAAAATGTGAAATTACAAAATTATTTCGCACTGTTCTCAATCTTTTAAAAATATGGTTGTGTTGTAATTTTATCTTTAATATGTACATTTGTGTTTAAAACACATTGTCTATGCTTTGAAGATAACAAGACACATAATTGAATATATATGATCTAAAATATATCAAATAATCACCATTCAACTAAAAATATAAACAACTATTGCTGAAAGTGAAAAATTTGTGATTTTGCCCATTTATGTGTCATTTTTGATTTGTGCTTATAAATGTGCTAAACTTTTGAAAAGCTTAAAGAGTCACTAATAGGATACCACAATCAAGACCCCTCTGGACTTTTTTGCATATTGAGTTTCACCACATATTCACCCATCTACTAACCAAAGAAGAAGTCCCAAATCGCCCTCTTTCATTGTGAATTTTTGCGATTGTGCTGGCCGATCTAATTATTTTCGCAGAAATTAATTCAATCTGAAGTTTGAATATACCGGGAAAGTCCTCCTGTTATTTGATTGGTCGTTGGATTTGTTTATCATGAACCTGATTGGCTGCCAGGTTCAAGGCGCTTGTGGGCACTTGTGTGACTCAATGGGGATTCCCCTCGCTAGCCGAGGAATTGATTTTGTTTAATTCTGGAGGTTGGTTGTTCTGTTGATTATTTCAATATTTCGACAAATAATATGCCCAAAAGTTATTCTCAAGATATATCCATGGTATGTTAGATATTATATGAGCAAGAACAATAGGACATCATAGATTGTCTGGGGGAGAAACCTTTGGTATAATGCACCTTTAAGAATATTAACATGCAATAATAATAAAATTTTTGTTGGTTTTCTTATTAAATGGTGGAGGGGAGATCTTATACATACATTTTCTATAACTTAAATCAAAGAAGACAGATTCAATAAAAAAAAACATATATCAACTATCATCAAAGAATTATAATTGTGGAAAATTATATGCTATTGCTAAAAGCAGAATGCTAAAAATGCCAAATTTTGTCCATAAACTTTAGACAAATGTAATCAAATGAAGGTTACATTAAATAATACATAGTATTGGTAGAGAATAGCTACAATTTTGTTAAAGTTTATGTTTTGAAATTACTCTTTCATTTACATTATAAATGGGGTAGGGGAGATATGAAGGCTCTAATACGAACATTGGTTGTCCAATATACATGTTGTCTATATAAAATGGTTGAAGACATGTACAAGTACAGATTTGACCAAGAATGCACCAACCAATCAGCATGAAACTCAAGATATAAGGACCTATACGCTATTGCTGAAAGCGAAAATGATAAAAAAAATGCCATGTTTTGTCCTTAAATGTCTCATTTCTAGGCACTAGTTTACCAATAATGGTTCTGAAATATCTTAAAAACATTAAATAACACATAATATTGATATAGAATAGAATAGCTACAACTTTGTTAAAGTTTTTTTATAATTTCAAGTTATTTTATATTTTCATATTTTTCTTTAATTTTTCATGATAAATGGGGTAGGGGAGATCTGAAAGCTCTAATGTGGCCATTGGTGGTCCACTATACATTTTCTATACCTTAAATGGAAGAAGACATGTACAAGAACAGATTTGATTAAAATTGCAACAACGAGTAAGCATAAAACTCTATATATGAGGAACTATATGTTAGGGCTGAAAGCTAAAATGATTAAAAAATGCAACGTTTGTCCTTAAATATCTCATTTCTAGGCACTAGTATACCAATAAAGGTTCTGATATATTTGAAAAACACTAAATAACACATAATATTGATATAGAATAGCTAAAAGATTGTTTAAGTTTATGATTTCAAGTTATTTTACTTTTTCATATGTTTCGGTAATTTTTCATAATAAATGGGGTAGGGGAGATCTGAAAGCTCTAATATGACCATTGGTGGTCCAATATACATTTTTTGTATCTTAAATGGAAGAATACATGTACAAGAACAGATTTGATCAAAATTGCAACAACCAGTCAGCATTAAACTCAAGATATAAGGAACTATATGTTACTGCTGAAAGCGAAAATGATCAAAAATGCAAAATTTTGTCCTTAATTATCTTATTTCTAGACACTAGTACACTAATGAAGGTCCTGAAACATCTGAAAAACATTAAATAATACACAGTGTTAATATTAAATGGCTAGAGTTTTGTTTGAGTTGAACATTTTGACTTTTTGTAGTTTCCATTTTTAGCCATTTTTTTCTAAAAAATTCAAGGTATGTCTTCTTCGGACCAGTATTTAGATATGTTCGCAAGAGTAATATGCTTCGCAGGCGAAATCCCTTATGCAGGAAACCCTAATAGAATGAAAAATACAGAGAAACTCCATCCAACTCACAAAGTCATTTCTTGCACTATTCTCACACCTTCCACCCCGAGTAGAAATGCAAATGGGTTTATGTGGCAAGGCCGGTTTATATAGAACCCCCGGGCTATAACCATACCAAAAGAGAAAAGGGTAACCATCACCAACCTGAGCCAAGCTAAGGATATTCGTTATTCCAGTAAAATAGAGGTACCAGAAAACACCGGGGTAAACCTCCATATCACTGAATTATTGTGAACATCACCCATGCCAACCTTTCCCGGGAATTCTCAGTAAAATCAAAGATAGACTTGCATTTACATTTGCACGATTTCTTACATGTTTAAAAATGTAATGGTAAATATTTTATATCTGGGTTTAATTCTTTAGCTCTGACTGTTCCAATGTTTGCACATGGTTTTTAATCATGAATGAAAACAGCAGGGTTAGATGATATTTGCACTAAACGAAACAAGATTATCTCGGAATTTAACGAGCACCTGCGAGACCCTGGATGATTCATCCTGTGACGTCAGATGGGTTTTCCTCAAAACTGGCGAAAAGTGATTTAGATTATTTTACAATAAAACAACTGGTTTTCTACAGTAAAAGCTTACCAAACTTGATAGAACTGTGTCAACTAATGGAATAGACATGTGAGCATATGCTGACGAGATGAGAACAGAGAAATCGTATGTTTGAAGGTGAAATAGTCAAATAGACATTAGAAGTCCAACCCATGTGAAGATTCGACTGGCCATCCCATTCACAAAAATAGTCTTAGGAATTACTTGTCAACAGATCCGGGATGTCAGGTAATCTACTTTATTTGCATCAAATAAATCAGGTGTATGTCACCATGCGATTGCCATGCTAGTAATTTGCAGTTATTCTGCAAAAATCATGAGATAAACACAGTGAATGATTCACCCATTCCTTGTGATTCAATTTCAAAGAATTCTTGCAAAAGAGGAAGCACTCTGTTATCATTATTAGCGATGGACATAATACTTTTAGTGGTAGAATATCAATGGTTATTGTTTCTAGGAGTCTTTTGGGTCATATTTTAACATAAATATTGGTTTGAAATTAACTGATCACTTCATAAAATTTAAGTAGGTCACGGAGGGGTCATCAGTGTTTGGTCAGTTATTGGTGTTTCAGATTGATCGAGTTGATTGATTTGTTTTCGAATCAAATCATTTTTGCGGTTTGGAATATGTTAGTGAATGATAAAGCACAAATAAGGCTGGTATTGCTTTCATAATCACCCCTTCCTCTATATCCACTAAACTATAGAGGATATTTTATAATTGCACATATATTTGACACAAATTACCTCGAGATTATACAAACTCATGTTATATAACATAATTATTACAGATTGTGTATGTGGCTATAATTAGAAAAAACTAAGTGGAATAAGTAACCTTCCCCTTTCAATGACAACCTGTTGCTTTATAAACACCTAATTACGAGTAGGATTAAATCATGTATGTACGCTGTATGAGGCACCAGATGTATAACCATTATTAATTATTAGATCACCATATTTTGACCTCTATTGAGTGCACTGGATCAACTTATTTGTGTCGAGTGTATTTTATTGCTTTTTGAGGTGCCCCACCACCAGGGCAGTGTGACCCCTAGAAAACATGAGCCATACAATAGAATGCTTGGCCCATATAATAGAAAGCTTGGTCCATACTCTGGAAAACTTGATCCATATCCTAGAAAGTTTGTCCCATAGTCTGATATAATAAAAAGCCTGGTCCATACTCTAGAAAACTTGACCCATATCCTAGAAAGCTTGACCCATGCCCTAGAAAGCTTGACCCATATAATAGAAATATGAAAGAGTAACCCATACTGTAGAGCTATTATATCCTTATGAATTTAAGCCAATTTTCTTGCCTTAGTTGACAACTAGATGTACCTGCACCATCAGTATAAGCCAAGCATAATTGGTTGCATCCTGATCTATATTAACAGATATTTGCTTCTTGATTATACATAATTAGTTTAACACAGCAGATATGTATTTAGTAATGTGCCAGTCTTTTGTATCTATCATATCATGCAAATGCAATATTGTTTCTGTATATTTCAGCGGCAAGAAACAGAAAGCAGAAGGGGCCAAAGCTAAAGTTTGCCAACTTTGAACCTGACAAACCTGTTAGTCCTGTGTGAGTAAAATCTATATATATACTCTATGCAATGTTCTCCCAAGGATTTTTTTCTCAAGTTGGTGCAAAATTCACAAGTTAGATCAAATTTGGGCAAAATATTCGTATTTTACATGGTTTTTAGTTCACATGGTGAGCTTTTGCAATCACTCACTTGTCCGTCCGTCCATCAACAATCATGGCATGTTTTAAAACCTCTGTCGATAGGATTCCTGTTTTAAGTTATTTCTGTTCAACATCAATACAGAAAACTCCCCTATGACTAGTATTGTGGCGATGTGCCATAATCGTACATCGATGCATCAGCAATTTTCAGTAGTAAACATCGATGCACATCACGATGTACATCGAGAAAAAGTCTGAGAAAATATACCGAACGCTAATGCACTAAAATACTGTACAGAACAAATTAATAAGAGTATGCTGGTTCATCCGGGAACTTCTAGTAACGATGAAATGAAAGTAAAGTAAAATTTTTTAGATTAATGGTTCATTTCGACTAGCTAAAACTGAAAGGTAAGCGATTTGCGTCAAAATAAGATAAGAAAGGGTGATATTTAGCAAATTAATTTTTTTTAAACATCAATGTTTTGTTTCAGACATCGATGTATTGCCAGAATCAGCGTTAGCGATGTATATCGTGATGTATTGATCAATCGCGACAACACTACCTATGACTCCTGGTTCAAAAGCTCACCTATTTTCAAAATGGCCACCAATTTTGTCTCACGAAATACAAATAATTTCAGGTGTCCTGCATTGTAAAAATCCATGTCAATGTAAAGAGTAGTTGCATGAAATAATTTTGTTACAAAAAATCAGCAAAACATTATATCCATTTTCTTTATTTTCAGCCATTTTAGTTAAGGGTCGTAAAGCGTCATATATCGTCATTCTGCTAACCCTTACGTCAATTGTGATATATTTTTAAATTACAGAAATAGAAAATAAACACCTCTAGGAAAAGCTTGTTTGCTAACTTCATGTTTGACAAGTGTTCTGTATTATATATCATTGATGCAGAATGACAGTATATGACGCTTTACGACATAGTAATCCATAGAAACTAAGAGCTCATGAAATTCACTTTTGGCCCATTTCCTAGCCTTACAAATAATATTCATGGTGTCCTGCATTGTAAAAAGCCATGTCTTTATAAGGAGTAGTTGTATGATATAGTTTTGTTTCAAAAAATTATATCTGTTTTTTTTTTTATTTTTTATTTTCTGTCATTTGAGCCATCATTCACTTTTGAGCAACACCATGTGAGCCCAGTACCCACGGTACTATTTATTAAAATTTTCAAGTGGGTGCAAATGGATTCTTATTATTAAAATATCAAATGGGTGCAGTGCTAACTTGCTTCAATGCGACAGGATCTAAAATTCATGAGGCAAATCCAAACTAAAACAGATACAAAACAACCATTTGACTTTATTTCCAGAGATTCAGTTGACAAAAATTGTGTTTTGATTGATTCAGAGAATTTCATCCTTAATGCCACCTGTTCCGAGAATTTGGTAAGAATGATGTTCCTTTGCTTATTCATTAATTTATTGATTACAGACCTCCAAGAGACCTTGACTCCAAGGCGACAATTACTATAGAAGAGAAAACATTTGAAGTTGAGGCTGCTGATCTAGAGAGTATAGAGGAGCTCGGACGTGGGGCTTATGGCGTCGTGGAAAAAGTCCGACACAGGCCTAGTAACACAGTACTTGCGGTGAAGGTAAGGCTTATTATTCATGATACTGTCTTTTACATGGAAATTGATAAAAAATCAAGGTTCAATGTGCAATTAATATTTCAGTGATACCACAAAAAGTCTGTTTTTCAAATGTAGCTTTCATGATGTAACTGCCCCTTGTAGTGACCAACAAAACCCAATTTAAATATTTTTCACCTTGTCCCAGATTTTGTTTAAATGACCTGTGTTGCATACATGGGGAAACATGTATCCAATTTGAATAACTGGGAAGCAATTATTATAGAATTAATTATCCAATAGCGGTACATGTACTTTATACACCCATAATTCAAACAGACCTGATTTTCTTTACTTTTATACAGGTATCCATTATTGCAAGAAAATCTGAAAATTTGTAATTGATTGCGGGATATGATTGCTAATGACACTGTTTAATAAGATACTTTAATAGATGTGCTGTATATGATAATCTTTGTCACGGACCTCTGCCAGATTACCTCCTCTGTGTCTAGGCTCAATATCCTTTGAGCCTTCTACCAGGAGGGGCTGGATCTGGCTCCGGATCTGTGATCTTTGTAAACTTTTTTGATTTTTCAGCGCATAACTGCAACAATGAACGTGAGGGAACAAAAGCGTTTATTAATGGACCTTGATATATCCAAGAGAACTGGTGGCTGTCCATACACTGTCAGTTACTATGGTGCTTTATTTAGAGAGGTAAATAAATGTGTTTCTAAGGTGTTTTATTTTCTAAGAGTGCATTTGTATATATGAAAAATGATACCAAGTTCTAGAGAATATGTTCACATTTTTTCAAAATCTAGAACCTTGCAAATGTAAAAAAAAACTAATCCTAATGCTTTTATTCGTTCTCTGGTGTTCGGATTAGGCAGGTTTTACTGTATAGTGTTATTATTAGATATTATGTGTTGTCCATGTAATGTTATGTAATTGAATGAAATATGTTGCTTGCAGGGAGATGCGTGGATCTGTATGGAAGTCATGGATACATCCCTTGACAAATTCTACAAAAAAGTATATGAACTTGAGACACAAATCCCTGAAGTTGTACTAGGAAAAATAACATCTGCAGTAAGGCATTTCCAAATAGTATACCATATTCTCTCTAATGAGTGCACAGTTCCAATGAGTGCACAGTTCTGATGAGTGCACAGTTCCAATGAGTGCACATGTGCCTTTTATGTTGAATATGGTCACAATGAAACACAATTTAAATGCATTAGTTTTGATTCGAACATGACTGATTCACGCCTTCTATAAGCTGTGAACAAAGTCAACATTTCACCCGGGGTATATTCGCGAACATATCCCTGGTGATACGAGTAATGTGTGACGTCATAACGGCGAGCAGTAGTAATGGCGGACCATAATGAATATTTGAAACATTTTAGTGAGTTTTCATGTTCGAATCATAATATAGACCTCAGAGCAGGGGTAATATCGTCGAATACACCCCTTAGGGCTAGGCACGAAACCTTTCTAACCCCTCACTCCCTTCGGTCGTTCAGGTTACAGAAAACGTTTGTGCCTAGCCCTGCGGGGTGTATTAGACGATATTACCCCTGCTATTCGGTCTATATTTCTTAATCGTTTACACAACAATTGAAGACTATATGTAATGCAGAGAAAGAAATACAGGAGGTGAAGAGTTTATAAACCTTAGTATGTTTATAACATTATATACAATGAAAATGATAAAGTCAATAATTTCTCAAAATTTTTGTATGTGCGCTTATTGGAATCTAAATATCTTACCATTCTGAATTTTAATTAAGAAACTGCACTTCTGTGCACACATTAGAGAGAATATTGTATGTACGTATATTGCACTTATTTTTGCATTAAAAGTAGTCATAATTTTTATTGATTTATTTAGCTAATGTAGTATATCAATTCGAATACTCAAAAATTGGGAACACATTGATTTCTCATTTCATCTTAAAATTTTACACATGCAAGATGAGATTTATTTGTGACATCACTGGTTTATAAACACCAACAACATACCAGCGATCAACATAGCAACAGATTAAATGTTTCTATGAGTATCCATGCTAATTCTACAAAACTAAGGTGTGACGTCATAACAATGGGCCATGCGTATCCATGTATATTCTACAATATTGTTATGACGTCAGAGATGAAGTTCCATTATTGACCTTTTGCGATCAGAATTCAGGTATTTTGTTTATGGATACTGTTGTCATGTATTTCGTCTTATTGGTGTGACGTCATATAAGAGTAATATTAGTCATGATGGAGAGATGAAATGGCGGACACGTGGCAGTTTTGGGCTAAAATAGTATAGTTTCTGTTATGAAAAACATGGGTCGGATATTTACCAGGTATGTTGTCTAGATCATGAGTATATCTTTAATGCTTTTCCATTAATTGCGCCAAAAGCAACTCAATATTGGGTATTCTAATTATGAAAAAATTGAATTATGATGGAAAAATTGTCTGTTTCTATTATGTTCCCATTTTTTTACTGGTTGTGATGTCACAGTGGAATTTGAACACCGATTTCATTTTTATTACTTAGTACTATACAGTTCCCATGCAGCTGTTTTACATCTGCTTTAGTATTTGTCAAATATCTGTCTAACCATGCATCATCACTTCAAAGACCAAAGTGCAGCCAAGTGTGACAGGGACATACTAAATTCTCTGTTATCAGTTGTTAATCATTATTTAAGCTAAAGCTCGCAACATTCTCTTTTATAGGTAGTTAAAGCCTTACATTACTTGCAAAGTGAGTTACAAGTCATACATCGAGATGTAAAGCCTTCCAATATACTAATAAATAGGCGGGGTGAAGTGAAAATATGTGACTTCGGAATAAGTGGGTATTTAGTGGATAGTATTGCCAAGACAATAGATGCAGGTTGCAAACCATACATGGCGGTAAGGTTCAATGTTTTTCTTTTTCATTTGAGTATTATGGATTAAAGTTCCATCCCAATGGCCTTAAGGTCACTGTCAATAGATGACAAAGATCCATTGGGTTTTATTTTGCACTTTTTAATGTGAAAATTGATTCAAAAATCTCCCAAATATTTTTTTGTTGAAAGTGTCCTAGAAACCATTTGATATTGAATCTTAAATCATTATTCTGAGTTTCTGTGTAAAGCAAGACATTAGAAAATAGAACATGTAAGGCATATCCACTTAATAGAATTAATGCATGGAAACATTAAACTCCAACATTTGCATTAATGATCGAACATATTTTCCGTTTGTTTCCAGCCTGAAAGAATCAACCCTCAGATGGGAAATACAGAAAAAGAAGGGTACGATATCAAGTCAGATGTCTGGTCTCTAGGAATAACTTTGGTAAGTTCTGTCAGTCATCTCTCCAGGATTAGAGCGGTTGGGTGCTGCACCTGGTTGAAAATCTGTTTCCACTCTGTCAAAAGAGTGAACTGTTTAGATTTTTTGACCAAACCTGGGAGAATTTGGATTTAGACCCGATGAAAAAAACCTGGAGTGATCTAACAAATTTTCCATTTCTGGTAACTGGCGCTTTGTTGATATGATACCCATTTGTGGCTGATGAGATTTTAGGAAAATATCACACATTATCTGTAATATCAGAAATATGACTGGCTGTTATCATAGGGCATTGTGGGAGAATTAAATTTGTTGAAGGACCCCAAGATGTGAGTTACCAAGTAGAATTACGTTATAATATACAATACATCAAGAAACATCTAAAAATCACTCCTTTCTCATGAGTGTCTGGACTATGCTCTAGTTTCAATTCTCGAGCAAGAGATCCTTTTTGCATAATTATTATTTTTTATTTCATTGTTACTTGAATTGCTTGGACATATTTTCAGATGACCTAAACTCATTTTGCTTTCTGTTGCAGATTGAGTTAGCAACTGGCAAGTTTCCCTATGCTCATTGGAAGACGCCATTTGAGCAACTGAAACAAGTCGTCGAGGACGACCCCCCACGCTTACCTCAGGATCAATTCAGCGCAGATTTTGATGACTTCATGGTTAATTGGTGAGTTGATGCAAAGCTTGCTTGCTTTATTGCTTTTACTCATCATTTTAAAGGTGCAACAATTAGTGCAGGGGGGCCATTCAACGATCATGGACCAGTGTCAAAATATATTTAAGTTTGGATGTTTCATCTAGACTAACATATATTTTATTATCTACAAAGAAACCCCCTGGATGAACATTATTTCAGCTGATATTACTCTTGAAACGTGGGACTCCATTTATAGAAGCTGGGACTGAATTTACACTTCTTAATGTTGAAATTGATAGTTTATACATACATTTTAAGAAAATAGGTATGTCAAAGAAGATGTTAAGCCAAATATTGACCTGATAGCTCAGAAAAAATAAAAAGTTTCGAATTTTCTCTCTAAAGTCCTTGTTGCCCCTTTAAAATACTAGTGATGTTTTTTAGATATGAAATATAAGCGAAATGCATGAACAGACTCCCCCAATTCATTCTACATACAACTCCCCAATGCATTCTAAATATAACTCCCCCAATTCATTCTACATACAACTCCCCAATGCATTCTAAATATAACTCCCCCAATTCATTCTACATACAACTCCCCAATGCATTCTAAATATAACTCCCCCAATTCATTCTACATACAACTCCCCAATGCATTCTCAATATAACTCCCCCAATTCATTCTAAATATAACTCCCCTTCTTCACCTGTCATTTTGATTTAAGCTGTTTACTAGAAAAGATTACTCAAGCTCTCATAAAATAGGACTGAAAACTCCAAGGGCCCAACACTTAAAACAGAATTACATATAATTTTGCCAACCTGAGTTTTCCTAAAGTGCATTTAAGATATCTGCATGTATTGAATAATTTGAAAGCTTCAAGCAGATTGTGGTAAATATAATAGAAAGCAATCCTAGTGCACATTGCAATAGACATGATAGCCTTTCAAATGATACTATTTGTGCAAACATAGTTATGTACTTTTGGATATATCAGCATATAACTACAATCAATTAAATAGGGCAAGATCAGTTTTCCAGTCAATTTCTGTAAATCTATCAATGTTGGGTCATTTTTAATACAAAACTTTTACCTGTATTATTGACTCATTATGAAAAGAGATTATGCGGTGTTCAAGTCATGTGTATGTTGTGTTTCAGTCTGAGAAATTACTACAAGCAATGACCTTAGTTGACCTAAATACCTAAATTTGATGAGCATGTTTTCTTAGTGAAATCTTAGATCAATTGTACATATCAGTTTGAAAAAGAACTGCAAGCAGCAACCTGCAGACTTAAAGTTGATGCAGTATGTTTTTCAAGTGAAATTCTAGATGAACTCTACATATTTACATTTTGTTTCAGTTTGAAAAAGGAATACAGGGAATGACCCACAAATCTTAAGTTGATGCAGTATTTTTCAATTGAATTTTTTGATGAACTCTACATATTTACGTTTTGTTCCAGTTTGAAAAAGGAATACAAGGAAAGACCCACATACCCAATGTTACTGCAGCATGCCTTCCTGGTGAAATCAGATGAAATGGAGGTCGACATGGCTGGATATGTAATTGAAATAATAGGACATGCTGATAAACACAATTGAGGATTGGCTTTAGTGTAGCTTAGTGAATTACAAACATGCAAATCGTGCCCTTTCTCATATGGAACATTTTATTTGGGATGTATTTATTCATGGCCATAAGTTGTATGAACCAATGAACCAATATCAAGGAAATATAAATAAACTGAAAATATAAAAAAAAAATGAACCAAGGAAGGCTGCCATACATTTGTGTCATTTATCAAGAAAAATAGTTGGATTTTTCAAATTGTTTATGATTTCTAAAGCTGACATATACCATGTCATATTGTGGATTTTATTTAAGATCTGGCCTAGCAAACACTTACGAATCATTATTTTGAGCTCAATTCCATTTTGTAAAAAACATCGCCAAAAGGACAACATAAATGTTGACTAGGACAAGGTGATGTTCTAGTGATGAATTTTGGTCACAAAATGGTGGCAAATTTCAAAAAAGTTCTAAGCAATAAATTTGCCTTATTTATATAAGATAACACAAAAACAATCAGGATATTCTTCCAAAAAAGTTATAAAGAATTGATATTTGTTCAGTGAGAAAATGTAAGTGTAAGGGAAGAACAGACAATATGGTAATAACGGACAGTGTGTCTTAAATCAATCAAAATTCTCAATCCCATATTTATTATCTGTGTATCATTGTTTTCATATCTAAAAGGCATGAATTTGCATAAATAATATGAAATATTTTAAAAATTACCAAGCTTATACAAGTGCTATACATTGTGCCAGTCTTTTGTGAATTTAGCGGACAATCAAAGATTATGTATTCACAAATAGCCACTTGCCAGACATGATATATCAAATACCAGCCAATTAAAACTATTCTGTCATGTGTAGAAAATATATCACTCATGGATAGTTCCTTCCTTAAACTTCAACCTTCGGCCTTTGTTTAGGAAAGAACAATCCTCGTGTGATATATTTTACAAACTAAGCATTGAGCTCAGTGCTTAAATCCTTCAATTAAGTTGAGGGTGATAATATTTGATGTGAACATACCCTGGACTGGGTGAAGATTTAATTATTCATTAGATCACTCTCACATAGACAATGACAAGTCCTTAAAGATGTTTTAAATGGCTTATAAATTAACTTGTACAAATCTACTTACAAAGGTACTTATTCTGATGTCATATTTTGAAATCATATTGTTTAAATGAATAAAAGATGAAATGGAATTCAAATACAATTTGACAAAAATGCTTTGATATTTGAATGGCTTCACAATGATATCAATATCAAGGGCATTTTCAGTTTATAATACAACATGAATAGGTCTCATTAGAGAGCTTTAACACAATGGGGATTCTACATAGAAGTGCGTTGTGCTTTGGCATATCATTGTATGAGACATCCATGTTGTACTAAAAACTATACATGTATTAAATAATGAATAGTAAATGTATTTATTAGGGGGAACTAATTATTTGAATTAAAAAAAGTTAAGTGTGAGGATTACAATTTGATAGTGTCTATCTATTACTCTGTATTCAGTCACGGTGTAAAAATTGTAGAATTTCAATTTATATAATCATAAACTGACCCTCAAAATCATATGCATAGATCTCATACAGAGTCGATCTTTATGTAGCTACAATTGATCATCAAAATTTTGAACATTTATTTTCCTGGTACTTTTTGATCTACCCTTACTGTGCATGGATATTTTTCATTATTTTGTGAATATAGAAGGGTTGGCACAATGTATTGATGCATTGAATTATAGTTGTACATAAAATAATGTAATATATATATGTAAAATATAGTACTATAATAGAGGCATATGCAATAAAGTTTATGTGAAAAATATATTGTCACAGTGTTCTATTATTATGTCTTGGCAAAATCCTTAATAATAATTACTTGATATTCTTGTGGATACTTTTGACCTGAATGGAAGATTATAATATTCCCTGAGAATATCATTTTTGGTTTGAATTTTCTCGAATTACAATTTAAGTGAGGTGAAGTTTTACCTATCTTGTGACATTGACCTCTATGTAACCTGAGGTACACCTATAAACTATGTATCTCGACTTTTTGACTAGATTCTCAAATTAGTTTTCTGACCACTAACCTTAAAAAGAATAATTCGTTGGGCAGCATGATTAATTTAGACTGCTAAACATTAGAATAAAATAACCCTTTTAGAAAAAGCTTTGGTCGTGGGACTGAAAATTTGAAACTTTGACACGGCAATATTTATTGCCTGGCATGGTTCTCGACTCAAGCCTTGAGAATGTAAGCTACAATCCCATATGTGAGTCTTTGACCCCTCTCCCAAACTACACAACTCCCTGCCTGTTGTGTTGGTGAAGTAGATACTACTGTACTTCATTTCATTTTGGCCGTTTTAATTTGGCGGATCCGCAAAAACTCCCACAAATTAGTAGCTAGAAATTCAATATTTCATATTACTACATGTATCATGAATTTGTATTGTATATACATTTCAAAATTGCAAGTATGCCAAATTTACTAGACGTTGCAAAATGTTCAAAACAGCAAATCCGCCAATTGTAGCACCAAATTAAGGAGAAGTACAGTAAGGGGAGGTCCATAGTCTTGAGGCAAGACTATGGGAAATGATATACTGGTATTTGTTAAGGTGAGCTTTGAGTGACACATTTTGAGTTTTCTGCATATGTCAGACGGTCTAATCTCAGATATTTTTATGTTCAGGCATTAGGCCATAAGAAGTAGATTCATCGTTTTGCATCCCCTTGCTTGCACAATTTTGAGTAAATCAGAAAAAACAAACACATCCAAATAGCAATCACAAGGGTCTGAAAGTACCATCGTATTTCGTTCAATCACTGAATCAGACGAAATGGCGGATAATTTGATGTGCGTCATAATTGACAAACATTGTGTATTTTCTTATTTTTTACCCTTAAATAATAGCTATGTTTAAATAGATTGTATAAAATGTATAGTTCTGTGTTTGTAATCACTGCAAATTGGTATGTCATCCCTTTTTATGCCCATAAAATGTATACATTTCTCAGCAATGTTTTTTTCTTGAGTTTGTGTTTGTTTTCCTTGTACCCTTGCATGATTTGGATTTTGCCAGGACTCAAAACAAAGAATCTACTTCTTATGGCCTTATTAATATATTACTCTGTAATCTGTAAATCTGAACACCTATCTTATTAAGACACTTCTCTGATCTGAACACTTCAATTTTTATTATTTTATTGACATATATACGTTCAAAGAAACTTGAAAGTGAACCGATTGTCCTTATCCTAAACATATTATGGTCGGTCGCAACGATGTTCAGAATCAGAATATATAGATTTTACTGTCTGGTGAAAAATTATCGTTCGTTATTATTATGCAACATCAGTCGGTTTTTCACATCCATGATCCGCAATTTGACCACTCCAATAAAAATGGCTGACAGCGCAAGTGAGCTCGAAAGCGACACCAGTTCAATTGATGGAGGTCCTACGGCTTTTCCACGCTCCCCCGGGCAACTCGAGCAGTTGCAAAAACGAGTTGAATCCCTGCAGCAGGAAAATAGAGTACTTAAGATGGAGGTCGACACGTGTAAGCTGAAAATAAAGAACCTTATCGAAGAAAACCGTCAACTTCGAAAAGCCAGCGTGACAATCGTAAGTTTGCCCTTTGTTATTTTGGTTTGTTTACAAACATCGGAAAAAAGTAAACAGTGCATGCCAGTGATTTTGTATGAACACAAATAACATGATACTTTATGAGTGCTATAACCTAAGAATATATCTAGGTCAACATGACATCACTGATCAAAATAGATCACTTGATGCTCACTTATGATTCATTTCATCTCTCAGACTCACAGGTAGGGATCAAATTCGCCCCTTCCCGTTCATACCGCCGTTTTCCGTAGAGGTTACCGCGCCTTCGAGTAGAAATACCGCCCCTTCGAGTAGAAATCACGTACAGGTAGGTCATAGAACTGCATCAAATCGTAATTCACAATAATTATCCGATCTGTTTATGGTCTAATAACTTGAATCACATATTTATCTACCATTTTCACCCATGTCCCACGCCAGCTTACCTCAAGTTTCTTCATAAACGGGCGCACAGTCGGGAATTATCATTCGAAAATCTCTCGTGGCCAGTTGTTTTGGTAAAACTCGTGTTTGTATTAGTTCCCCCAGCTACCACATATAATTGGAATTGTGCCATGAATGTTAAGGTCTCATGGAAGTTAACAGGAAATGACAAAACAGGAAGTGACAATTTTTTGTGCATTTTTAGACATTTTTTGAACAAAGATAACAGAGTTCTGGTTTGACCTCCAGTCAATTTAACTGTTTCCACATATCATTTACATGACCAGGATCACAATGTGCATGGCCAGAATGACCCTAAACATGATGAAATAACCTTTTTAGTCCCTTGAAAGTGTGACTGAAAAAAAGCTAAAAGTAGGAGCTAGGGAAGGCCACTGAACAGAATCTTTTGAATTTTTCAGAAAATGTGCCCAATATAATGCTCTAACTGATACAATCTTTGAAATTTTAGAAAATTGTCGTAAACAAAAATGGCGGTCATAAAAAGGAGAATAGATCGCTTTTCAAATCAGTTTTTTCATTTTTTTTCTCTTTCTATGAATGATATCAAATTTTCAAAGATTGTACCATTTAGAGCAATATATTGGGCACATTTTCTGAAAAATTCAAAAGATTCTGTTCAGTGACCTTTCCTACCTCCTTCTTTTAGCTATTTTTCAGTCACATTTTCATAGGGCTGAAAAGGTTATTTCATGATATTTAGGGTCATTCTGACCATAAACATTGTGATCCTGGACCTGTAAATGGTATCTGGAACTAGTTGAATTGACTGGAGGTCAAAAGTGAACTCTGTTATCTTTGTTCAAAATATGTCTAAAAATGCCCAAAAAATTGTCACTTCCTGTTTTGTCATTTCCTGTTAACTTCCATGAGACCTTAAAGATAATATCCTTTTGTTCGTTCATATAATATTCCATCCCATTTGACGATCAACACAATTTGACACGAAGCTCCACTGTTTCTTTGTAACAGTTCCACACCTTATTAGTAGGTGTACTGTACGTACATTGAATATTGATTCCAGTTCATCTGCTGGCATATGTTAAACGAAGTGTGCAAACTGCAATCAGGCTCCGAGTAACTGTGTGCTAAATTCGCCAAAATAAATCTCCGCCTATTTCGCCAAATTCGCCAAATTAAATAGCGCCAAATTAAGTATTCAAAAAGGCTAAGGCTGGTATAACTCTTATTATACCACTCTTAGTCCAATTACAGTTGTATAACATGGGTCTATAACAACGATATACAGTGGAGAGTGGTATATCGTCATCGTATACAACTCCTCCGTATACACTCCAGCGTATACCACTGTAGAAGTGCATTCTGGGAACTAATGAATAAAAAAATCATGAAAATTTTCATGATTTCCTAGAATCAAGTGACGTCATAAATGGTTCCGGCATGATTTGCTAGAATCAAGCCACGTCATAAATGGTTCGAGATCAACATCAGCATTATTGAGTTGACTATGAGATATTTTTATGATTTTTATTTGTTATGATTGTGTTCGAATCAACTGTACTTGAAATTAGAGTGGCATAATAAGATTATATAATGGTTCATTCTGTATATCGTGCATTTTATACTCTCGTGAGAATATAATATATTCACTCGTTCGCTACGCTCACTTGTGAATATATTATATACTCACTCGAGTATAAACACGATATACAGAAAGAACCATTATATAACCTCATATTATCGTTCAGTAAAACTAACTGTTCGCTGGCCTGTGATTAGAAAACTGAGATCAAAGATCGGCTCGTGATTTCGTAAATATTTGGCATAAGTACAAATCCATCCATCAAAATGTTACGTGCTGAATATTCACAAAGGTAAATCTCCTACCATTCACATCTACACCATTCTAGGGGAAAACCTAAAGTCGGTAACACACATCCCATACCTACATATATGTATTGACATCACAAATAATTTACGCTTGACTACACATATTCAAACTATCCAAAGCCAATAAAGTGCTTTGGTTCCTCAGACGCAACCTCCATCAATGGCCTTAAAAAGTGAAGGCTCAGGCATATAAGACACTAGTCCTGCAGAATATGCCAGTTCTGCATGGGATCCATACCGGCAAAAATATTGATATGTTGGAACAGGAGCAGAGAAGAGCAGCCAGGTTTGTAAATAACTGTTTTTTCAATGGTGTGGAATAGCACTATATTGGGAAGGAATTCTCTATTTTGTACACATACGATGTTAGTTTCTCGCGAATAGGCCCATGGGCGTTTATTTGAAAGTGGGGTGTATGAAAAGGTTTTTCCCTCTTGGCAAAGGTAACTGGTCAACTCAACCCCAAGTCAACTCAACCCAAGTCAAGTCAACCCTTAGTCAACTCGACCCCAAGTCAAGTCAACCCTTAGTCAACTCGACCCCAAGTCATCTCAACCCTTGGTCAACTCAACCCTTAGTCAACTCGACCCCACCATATTTAAATATCTATAAAAACAATTAGATGTACCTTTCATTATGATATTGATGAATTTTGAAAGAATTAGGGATAAATTAGAAACTAGATATAAATCGGAAATGTTAAGTAATTTTCTGAATTTATTGATTGTAAAAAAGTTAGGTGAATTAATTCTAAAAGATTAAATCATATTGGTTTTATCTAGAGAAGTTTATGCTAAACACTTTTAATTTAACAATTTATAATTTTTATGAATATGACATTTATTTACCAAAATAATACGTGATTAATATGAGTATAGTTTTAACAGAATTAGCCTAGCCTATCTTAATAGGGCTATTCACGATGCTATTCATATATTTCACACCTTCAAGGTAAATTGGCTGGCTATTGGATTAACTTTCCAATATAAATTTGTTTATTAAAAATTATTTCAAATAAATGCCCAGTTGGCAAAACATTCGAGAAAAGGGATGAAATTGCGAATAGTACATATGTAAGGTAATACGTGATTAATGTCGTTCAAGTACAAATGATTAATAAAAATGAGGTCACATATTGGTCAACGTTTTTGCCCACGTTCGTGATCATACTAGTGCGTGAGTATGAAGGCCATGTGTCAACTATACAATCGATAATATCCCCCTAGCTATTCCTCTAAATAAACGCCTATCCTCCTTGGAAAATTGTTTTCTCCCTCTTAATATAGGCCCATGGGCGTTTATTAAAAATTCTTTCAAATAAACGGCCTGTGCAAAATAAACGCCCGTAGGCCTATTCGCGAGAGAGAGTAAAGAATAACTTGTAGATTTGTGATCATAACCACTGGCGAATCCAGAAATTAACAAGGGGGGGGGGTGTACCTGTACCTGTACGGAAAACAGCGGTATGGACGCGAAGGTGCGATCTGATCCCTACCTGTGAGACTGCTGTTGTTGTTTACAAACTACCAAGGTGAATTTCCGGCAATCTAAAAGTAGGCTAATAAGCAATGCATAGATACACTCTTTTTTGTCTATGTTGTCATGAATTTCATTGTCTATCAAATTTCTTATGCTACGTGAAGAGAACCACGGATTGGGGCCAGATCGTTTTGTAGTAGGCTCTCATAGGCTCAAAGAATAATTCAGAAGATGCGTCACTAAATTGGAAAATTTAAAAAAAAGTGACAACCTTTCAAAATGTTCCTTATACAAAATGGTACCTGCTTCCCCGTGACAGATTTTGCATTTAATTTATAGCTGAGATCTTCCTCATCTACATCAATAATCCGCAAAAGGCTAATAAGCCCAAATAAAGCATATTTGGACAGACAAGAGCTCGGATATAAAATATCACTGTTTAGGCCTCTTATCAACGCAGTATTGGTTTTTTTCCCGATTCTCATTTGAAATTAACTCATCTTGGTGACTGTAACTTGCACAGCTGTGTTGTGTAGAGTCTTGTCGAATTAGACTGTATCCTTCGTCTGAATAAATTCAGACTGTAAGTCACCTATTGTAAAATGTGGTGTTGTATAAATGTTACAAATAAGTTTGTTTAATGATAAAATAATTACCTTATAAAGAACTTACAATATAATTTTTTCGTATATTGTCCTCTTACTGAAGATATTCATAAAATGTACAGACGCTTCTTGTAGCGAAGCCATTGATTAGGTCAAGCCATTTTGGCAATGCCTATTCTCACGATAAACGAGATTTAGCTAGTGACGTCAGTCTATTTGTAAACAAATAACACGTGGAGCGGACGGAGCAACATTTCGGAAGCGTATTGATGAATTCCATTTGTGCGGGAATATCTAGTCATTTATTATCATTATCCCGATTAATTTTCGTCATTTATAGTAAATAGAGCGGAAATATTCATGAAGAAGGCCAAGGTAATCAAGTGGTCATGTGTTTGAAGTTAAAAGTCAAAGTTCAAAAATTTGCATATCTCGTTTGGATCTCGTGAACTCAAACGTCCTTGACATTGATTTCGCGATCTACTTATGAACACATTCTGAAGTTTTGGTGAGTCTGAACATTTCATTATTTTATATCAACTTGTACCCGCCTTATACAAATATTTTTGCTTCTAGTTTAAGATGAACATCTCTTCAACATATTCACCAATTTTCAAGGTGAACATTCTTGTAATAAACGAGAAATTTATGTGCACAAAATATCGCCGCGATTTCCATGCCAAGGGTATCAATCATAACAGACCGAATATTACATTTGGTCTGTTGGATACATACTACTTGTCGAATCCAATCTGCCTCAATTTTAAAGGATAAGTTGTATTTTTAACATGATCTTCATCTTTCTATTTCTTCTTGTTTGGTTCGATCAGATCAGATGGACGCAGTAATTTGACTTTCAATACGGCAAATATTTTTCATTTTATCCGGGCTCTTGTGTGATCAAATATCATTGCATTTTTATTCTGATGTCATATTTCTGGAATCACGGGAGCACCATTCAGATTTGAACAGACAAGAGCTCGGATATAAAATATCACTGTTTTGCCTCTTATCAACGCAGTATTGTTGTTTTTTTCTCAAATCTCATTTGAAATTAACTCATCTTGGTGACTGTAACTTGCACAGCTGTGTTGTGTAGAGTCTTGTCGAATCCAATAATCTGCCTCAATTTTAAAGGCTAAGTTGTATTTTTAACATGATTTCACTGTTTTTTGTGGATTGGTAAGAGCCTGAAACGCAAATGGCACGATGGATGACTCTTCGCCTCACCTTTACCGATGGTGATCATATGTAAATCACATGATCAATTTTACTTCGATGCTGATTGCCATAATTGGTTAAATTTGAATTAATTAGAAAGGTTCAATCTCCAGCGTTAGAAAGAGAATAGGTCATGTGACCTTGTGCCAGTTCCGTTGCTAACTGAGGTAATAGTGATAAATAGCCCAACAATAGTCGGCGGTCTTGAAATAGACTTGAATCTTGTATCCAATCCTAAAGGCTTGCAATAATATCCTTCGTAGAACGATTACTCCAATCCTTGCTATAAACAATAAAGCCTTACTTTTATGTAAGTTGTATTTCCCTTGGCCTATGAGTCTATGTTTGTATTTCTTTGGTAACATACCCCAAATCACCTACATGTAGCCAGACTATTATCCTATTAGTCTGAATATAAGACTATAAGCAACCTATGTTAGGATTTGGTAAATCAAAATATTTGTTTACAGAGAAAGTGCTATTCAAAATACCCAATGGAGTGAATTAATTTGCATATTTGTTACTTCAACTAGCTTTATTCCGACTTGACAATATGTGTTATAATGTTTATTTTTTGGAATTAATGCTAAATCAAATTGATAATTTTGTGCAAGAAATTTCACTGCAATTTCGACAGGACAGTAGTACATCATAACAAACTGACTTCTAGTCTGGATTCATACTATACATGTACCTCTGCTAGAACCTCTACTAGAATCTACAGAGTTAGATTGTCTTTGACTTTGCATGGGTAAATCAAACTGATCCACCTATCAAGTCTTTCTGTCTAGTAATACTTTTTTTGGTCGCTTGAAAACTGCTGTTAGTTTATGGGAGTTCGTTCTAATAATTATACTGATCTCGTGTCCAAACTTTGCCTTGTTTAACATGCATAGGGCTGATGTGACGATTTGCAAAATGATAGATTAGGTAATAAATCTTCTTCCTCTGATGAAATCCAGGTTTCATACTTATATTTAGGTGAAAAGGTAAGATATTAAAGAATTTGCATTGTTTATAGCATTTATAATAGTGGATTGTGGACACTAAAAAATCATTGCATGAATCTCTGGCATCACGATTCTAAAGTCACAGGGTGATTCACATATATGTATATGTACCCTTCTAAAATCGTAGATACAGATTTTTAACATTAGTGTTTTATTTTACAACAATTTGGATTGTCCAAAGGTGCATTAAAGTGCAACTTGACAGAAGTAAAAATGTCAAAGTATTATTTATAATTCTACTTTCTATTTAACTTGCAGCAAGCCAGAGCGGAACAAGAGGAAGAGTTCATAAGCAACACTTTGTTGAAGAAGATCCAAGCATTGAAAAAAGAGAAAGAAACACTGGCTATGAATTATGAGCAAGAAGAGGAGTATCTCACTAACGACTTGTCGAGAAAACTTTTCCAGGTATATGTCAGGAAACCCCAACTTTTAAAATGAATAGCCACTCCTAGTTAAACTCCAGAAAACTTGCACATCAATTAAGATCAATTTTCACTTTTAAAAATCAAAGTAAAAGGTATATTTTTGCCAGTGTTAAATATCACATTCTCATATGATACGTGACGTCACAATAGCTAGAACAATCTCTGTCTTTATTCCTTAAAGCTGGACTTCGCTCCGAAACGCAATCTTGGGTTGTTTTGGGGGTGAACTTTATCATTTTGAACTTAATGAAAGATTATAGAATGATGAACAAATGGGGCAAATCTTGTGTAGAAATACTTACGATAAATGTGTCATTTCAAAGATTTTTCATTGAATTACTTCGATCGGAGCCGGCGATATGATTTTGGAAAGGTTTCTAAATGAAGAACGTGATGTCACTTCCGAATCATAGCTTTCAAAATAAGTAGCGTTTAATTACTTCCACCATTCATAATAACACGGTTGTCTAGCGGTAGAATCCTTGCTTAGCACACGAGAGGCCCGGGTTCGAATCCCACATTCGCCTTTTTATTTTTTTAACTAAATGATTGTTCTTTGATATTACGCAGAAAAAAACAATTTTTATTTACATAAACTTTATATTAGAGCTTGAAAATGTAAAAACAATATATGTCAACATATTGCGTTTTGGAGCGATGTGCAGGTTTAATTATATACTAGGAAAATAAAAATAAATGTATAAACTCAATAAGAAAGATATTCCTCCCATTGACTCACATGTGAATCTTCTATTTTTTAAGCTGAGACAGGAAAAAGTAGAGCTAGAACAGACACTGGAAAAAGAACAAGAATACCAAGTAAACAAACTAATGAGGAAAATAGAGAAGCTGGAATCTGAGACTCGCAACAAACAGTCAGGCCTAGAACAGGTACTTAAACATATTTTTTATTACCTAGTTTTATTCCTCATTCCTGCAAGTTGGCTATTATATGTCTCTCTCTGATCTCCCTAGCATTAAAACATGTGGGTGCAGTACCAACCTGAGAGTTTTAAAACAGGCCGGTGTGAAAGAATGATGGTCCCCAAGGGATTATGGTCCTCTTTCTCAACGGCCCTTACTGGCCCTGATTGCGTATAAGATAATAATGAAGGAAAGAGTTGTATTTAGGTCACCATATAAATCAATGGAGAGTAGGACCATAATTTGATAGGATCTCCTACCCTTTTACACCGGCACCCATCTAAAAATCTATTTGCACCACCCGTAATGAGAAAAAGCATGAAAAATAGGCATATTTTGCCCAATTTTGTTCTGAATTGTGAAAATGAGAAGTTTGCACCCACTTGAGAAACAATCCTGTGGAGAACACACTGGTCTCTCATTGGCCTTTCAGGCTTTCCCTCGTGTCTTTTGTTGAGTATACACGGTGTTTCATATGTATGCACCCCCTTCCCCCTCATAAACTCACATATGTAGCATTGTTACCCTATCATCATCCTCCTAAGCAGGTGTTCAGAATCCGTACCTCCTTCTTCCCCCTGCCATAACCAAGTTGGAAGCGCCCGATTAAATTAAATGATCTAATTATGCGCCGATAACGTATACATGATTGCTGTCGCAACAGCGAATCTAACTGCGAGTTCTTAATCGGGGAAATACAAACTGCTTATAGCAGGGGGTAAAAAGAAGAAGATATTCTGAATTTTGAAGCCCTGTGATCGGAGGATGCCCTATCATGTTATATATTATTTTGTTCCTCATGGAAAGTTACATAAGAATGCAAAGTCTCAGAATCCACCGGTGTCCCTGAAAAAAGATACAATGTATCAAAGTATGCAGGCCGGTGATCTCTTCATTTTGTCTGCTGCCCGTTTTTAGTGATAAAGGTCGCACCAGGGTACCTGACCTCCCTATAAGCCACTGCATGAATCCTATCTATATAACTGTCATTCAAACTAAATTTTTCCTTTAAACTGCCCTCGAAACTCTCTAAATGACCCCTACCCACATATTTTGATATCTTTTTTTCAGGGACATCACTGGATTCTGTAACTTTGCAGTCTTATGTAATTTTTCATGAGGAACAAAATGCTTTTTAACATGATAGGGTGCCAATGCTACATGTATGAGTTTATGGGGGGGATGCATACATATGAAACACCCTGTACTTGGGCAAACTTGTGTATTGAAATATAGCTGCAGCAGATCATAGCTTTTAACCCATTGAAATGGTTCAGACTTTTAAATTCTCACATCAGCTTTTCAAACTTGTCCACACCTGACAAATATATGTCACCACCATTTGCAGTTGGTGATCGGCAGTGCATGTCTGTAACAAATAGCAGGTTGTGACACTTTGCATGTCTTGTCTTGTTAGTACTAGAGCCAACTTGGGTTGAACATGCAGAAAGTGATTGAGCAACTATATCTGGGACACTGGTTCAACAAGCGATTTGTTTTAAAGTTATACTAAAACCAATTGAAGAAACTCTTATTATCTTTTTAGCACACATTCTTTTTAGCACACATTCCAATAGAAACATAAATATTTTTAATTGATTGAACTTCACAAAAAGAAATTCTTGAGGAAAGAGCACTGCAATTTAGTCATTACATATACAAGGAATTGATTGAAATGCATTTGTGAAACTGTATATCTGAAAATGTTAACCCAATAATTATATTTTGGCCTTACAGCATTACATTCGGGTTAAAAAGTTTTAATGCCCAAACACTTACAATATTTTATGTTATATAACTTATATGCTTTCAATAGCGTTTCAGCTTGATTGATTCCGCACTCAATTGCAAGTGATATTATACCCTTTGCGAAATTGATGAGAATAGCCTCAATCATGCAATAATTGGCTCAACATAAGAGCGAATAACTTGTTTTTGAAAGCCAGGGTTTCATTTTATCTACAAAATCGTATTTCGCAGCAAATTGTTTCAACCACACACGTCATGTCATGTGACATAAAATTTCTGCTCTGAAAATGAAATCAGTTTTGCCTCGAAAACAGACACATGCTGACTTAAAATCCCCAATATCATGATAAAATGAACTTTTGGAATTGTTGATGGTTTACCATCGTAAAATGTGGCATTCATACGATATGATGGCATAAATATATCTAAATTGAGTTAAATGGTTTGAGTACAACATTAAGTAATCAGCCATTTTATCCAAGTTTCATCCTATCGATTCATCCACTATTGCTATACACTGAGACAACCCACTGCTACAGTACATAACACAGTACATAACACTTAAACTACAACTTTTATTTTGCATTGAGGATAATTCCTATGTAAGGAATTTTGTCAACATTCCTGGAAAAATGAATTAATAAACATTGTTATGGTTTACCCCCTCCCCCTCCCCTCATGTCTAACAAAATCTTAAAATGTCGATTTGTATTTCAATTGAATATTCAAAATTCATTTAGCGAAACCATAATTTACCCCCTCCCCTAAGGAAACTAACATTATTCTTCCGCAACTGTTGATAATTGGACACCATCCCTTAATCGATGAATGCCATTGGTTGAATGTTAATAACGATATATCTCCATGAATGTCGTTGTCTCAAGGTTAATGCGACCTTTATAGGTAAGGTAATTGCTGGTTAGTAGGCGCAAAGTTGGCGGAATCACATTAATTTGCTGATAAATCAGATTTATAGCAATGTTGGCTTGCTTTAAAGGTTACTCTGCATTGTACAGGAAGCAATATTATGGGGAAACTGTTATATTGTAAAACTTGTATATAGTGAAGATTTTTGTAACAAGAAAAAGAGAGATCTTGATTTAGTAGTATGACTTTTCCAATCATTTTATATGGATTTCTTTTTTTGCAAGGAGAACACTCCATATATGCTTTTGATTTTTGGTTACCAATTTGCAAGTTATTAACAAGTGATATTTTTGGCATGTTACCCAGACGATGCCTTTTGCATAATTTAGCAGGAACTAGTGGTTAATTGATAATATTCACTAACACAGGTTTTACTGTAGAAAACAATGTAAGCACATATATTTAAAACAAATTATTGATATATATTTTAAAAGATGTGTCTGCTCAATATATGGTTTATCAGCTGTCCAATTTGCTATTTTTGCCTAATCTCACGTGGGCTTCATCTGTCCAATCAATTTATGGCACATTCATTTTGTTATTATTAGTCTAATACATTTTGAGCCAATCTCTAACATTATGTGTCAATCTTTTGCATTTTTGGCTCAGCCTTTTGCATTATGGCTAATTTATTTTTCAGTTAAAGCGTGAGAAGGTAGAGTTGGAGAATGCCTTGGAGCAAGAACAGGAAGCGCTTGTTAATAGACTCTGGAAGAAAATGGACAAACTAGAGGCAGAAAAAAGGTAAAGCCAATTGGTTTAGGTTGAATTCAACAGCTTTTGATATTAATGTTTGCAATGGTGGCGAAGCTCAATTAAATTTAACCTAAGAAACAGATAAATCATCCAAAAGAAATTTGCTTTTCTACTTTAAGGAATTATCAAATCTGTTGCATTCGGTATTTTAAAGGACAACTGAACTAACACCTACAAAAATGCGGTTTTCTCCATTTTAAGCCCACCGTAGAGTTCTTGCAATAGCCATTATAAAATAAATGTTAGATAACTGCTAACGGTCATAGATAACGAAATAAAACTAACCGATAAATCAAATTGGCCCCCACGTGATTAGTAACGTCATATACAAAATATAGCTTTGGTTTATTGGTTCCATAGTAATCACAACGTCACGGCAACCATAGGATTGTTGTGTAAACAAATAACAAAACATTTTGGCATTATGACGTCATGATCTAATGGACCAAAACGGGCCGCGTGGGGACCAGTGAGAGATCACGTGGGGGCCAATAACGTCACAACCAATTTGAATATTGCTTATTAAGCAGCTATAACGATCGTTAGAGTGAAATAGTTTTCACACTACTGATGAGAAAACATGTTAAAATACATCTATCAAAAAATTATATTGATTCCTTTAGGTTAAAAATACCATTTCATATCTGCTTTAATGAATCTTACAACACAACAAAAGTTGCTTTTGGGAATGGAAATTCTACAGATCAGCAGATTTTCTCAAACCAGTTGTGTTTGTCTTTATGCATGCATTCTGTCTATATTTCTACCATTCTTCATTGGAAAATGACATAATAGCTTTGAGGTTGAAATTCCAAAATATAAGGGAATCTCGTTGAAATAAGAAGAGAGTGTATCAAACATTAGATAAATGTTCTACATGTATATAAGTAATATTATGGGACCATTTTTATTACCCACCATAAGCGGTGACATATTGTTATAGTCTCCCAACTTTTTGTGGATTGTGTTTAGTGGTATTCAGTGACCTTTGGTGTTCATTTGTCAGTGTCTGTAACAAATAGCATGTGGTGACATTTTGCATGATAATGCCTGATAGCCAGCCACCTTATGTTTCACCTACTCTGTCATTTGATCAAAAATAAGGTGACTGATATTTTAAAATATATGTTCTAATGAGTGTCTCTCTCACTATAGGTATTTGTCGTCAATGTTACAAGGCAAACTAGAGTCACCATTATCTGCCCAAGCCTCCCCTAGAGAGATGGACACCACTACATCTGCAAACAGCAATGAGACAGCCAGGAACCTAACACAGAATATCAACACACTACGCAGTGAAGTTTCACGCCTTAGGAACATGCTTCGTGCATCACAAATTGATCGTGAGTAATAATTCATGACTGTATTTTTATCGCACCTAAAAAAAGGTACGATATTGTTTATTGTGTTTTGGAACATCCAAAAGTCTTGATAATATTTGCTATAGTGGCATAAAAGTTCAAACAACATTTCATAAGTCATGATTATGGACACTTGAGTCAACACAATTATTTGAGGCCTCAGCTCATCAATAATACAGCAATCTTTACCCCATGCATGAAATTCATTTTTAGTAAAAACTTATTATATGAAAAAAAATTAAAATTTTTTTGAGGCAGTTGATCATGAATTTAAATTCGTTGAATTACTATTTAACAAAAATAAGTATATCCATTTTTTTCAAGATGAAGAAAAAATGGGCAGAATCGTACAAGATGAGCGCCACCTACAGGAAGAAAACATACGTCTACAACGCAAACTTCAGATGGAGGTTGAGCGGCGTGAAGCCCTCTGTCGCCATCTATCAGAGAGTGAATCTAGTCTAGAGATGGATGATGAGAGGTATTTTGATTATCTTATCATATTTCTCTCATTGCCGGTTTAGGAAATATTTTTTTTAAAGGATTGAGGCTATATACAATATGAAGAGTGAGCTTTTCTATAATAAATCAAATCCTGATGTATTTCTTCTTGTTCTTTGCTTTTCTTGTATTATACGTAGGTATGTTTTATTAAATGTCCTTTCTCCTCAATTTTACTTTAGCGAAACATTTTTCCGACTTTCGTCTGCCGTATTTGATTTTTGAAGACAATGTGCATGCTTCAAAAGGTTTTCATATATTTTATTTACAGATGCGGTGTTTTTATCCTCAAATTATAAATTGTGATCACAGTATCATTTCCTGATATTTAAAACAGATATTTCTAGCAAAATGCAAATATTAGCATGCGGCAGCTTAAACTAATCTCCATGGTATTTTTCTGTAACAGCCATATCCTGGATGGAAATCTGGGGCATTGGGATACTGAACTGTATCCCAACGGACAGTGGCATCATTTTTCACTCTGTATCCAACGCTAAGTTGAGAGTGCGTGTAAATACAGGATATATTTAAGTCACATGGACCAACAAGATTGCAGGAAATTTCACCATCATGGAAGAAAATATAGTATTAATAGTATATAATCTTACATTTTTGATGTTTTTTTAGGCATTTTAATGAGATGACTAAGCACGACAGTGGAAGCGTCAAAAGTGAAAAAGACAGTTTAGGAAGCATGAGGCAGAGAACTGTATCCAGCCCCATACCCTACCAGTCACCTAACTCTTCCACCTCCAGTCTCAACAGACCACTTTCGCCAGGTATGTGTCCCATAATGCATTGCACATTCAGCAGACAGATGACCCATAATGATTTGGGCTTTCAGTGAGATGTCCCATTATGTAATCGGCATTCAGTATATGATTCCCAAAAGGCTACTTGAATTATAATGGATGTCCCATCATGCAATCTTTGGGTACAAATTTCCCATAATGCAAATTGACAATGATCACTCATGGATTTTCTCATATGACTAACCAAGATATGAAGCCATCTTTACCACATGCAAGGTATTGCCATCTTTCATTGCAAAATGTCACACGTGCAGGATGAGTTTACTTATGACATCACTGGTTTATAAACAATAAACATCAACAACATACCACAGATACACCGTTGCTTTGAGTACCCATGCTCATTCTACATAACTAAGCTTTGACTAATAATGGAGCTTTTTAGCCATGCCTATTTATTAATATTTTCTACACTATTGGTGTATTTGATATATTGTTCCATTAATTATCCCATCGAACAAGTGGGCAATAACTCAAATACCGTAGGCCCGATTTTGTTCATATTTTGTACACATGAGCCCTCTGTGGGTAGAAGTTTGAAATTTTCAAAATGGTGACCATTTTAGTGCTGATTTTACAGTACAATTTGACCCAATTATGAAACTAAATAGCAATGTGTTTTAAATATTAAAAGTTATACAGGACATTGATAAAGCTAGAAATGTAGATATTTTAGGAACACATGGCAGCCATCTTGCAAAATTACGAACGTAAGGATTGGCCTGACATATTAGCCATCCTGCATTATTCCTAAGAGATACTTTAGAATTGACATACAGAGGTAGTTTCTGAACACGACATCAGGTTATTTTTATTAGTAAACCTTGATGATATTAAAATTTCTGTATTTTGTAGGTCTTAACTTTGGGCCTGTGTTCAACCCAATGGCAAGCCCCATGAAGTGTAGTGCCTGTGGGCAGCAGATCGTTCACTCGTCCCCCTCCCATTTGCCAAGTACATCACCCCCAATGTTCAGTCACTTACAACAGGTATGCTGGGTCAAATCCAAATATAGAGAAAAACATTTATCACATGGTTAGGTGTTCACTCTGTTCAGTATCATCAGAAAACGAAGAGATTTGTTTTTGATGCTAAATTTACATGCAACATGTTTTCATATTTCAAACATATTTGATTTATTAATATACTTTCAGAAACCGAGGCCAAGTCCTGACAAATTTGTGAAGCCTGCAATTCCTCCTTCAGAAAAGCCTAAAACCTAAGACTAAATCTAGTTGCAACTTGAGAGATTAATGTCATGTGTGTCGAATTGACCTTCACACTCGATGGAATGCCGGCTCTACATCAAATGTACTGCAGTCATGGATGTAACAATGTCATAGAATTTGGCAGTAGTTGACAGGATCAGGACCTGCTTCTGTTGCATGCTGCCAATGTGTACTGCCACTGCATATAGCATACGTGACCCCTTGATTTATGCCTTTAGTATGTCAAAACACAGGTGATGTTATAACATTAAGTATGTTTCGTGGACAGTGAAATATGAAAAGTGGAGAAAACAGTGATTCAATTATTTATTAGGAATTGATTATTAATCAAATAAATAATTGTTGAAGATTGAGATATTTAAAAGTTGAATATCTCGCTACTATGAGAAAGTTTGACGAAATGTCCAGAACAGTTCAAAATGGATTTCTATTACAAGGTGCTTGTAGCTTTTTGACTGTATCTGTAATCAGTTAAAAGGTTTGCTCTTAAACCTTGTAGTGCTGTTCATGTATGATAGCTGCCAATGTAGCTGCCTTGATAGTTGCCGATGTTTTCATGTACGATAGCTGCCAATGTAGCTGCCTTGATAGTTGCCAATGTTTTCATGTATGGTTGCTGCCAATGTAGCTGCCTTGATAGTTGCAGATGTTTTCATGTATGATAGCTGCCAATGTAGCTGCCTTGATAGTTGCCAATGTTTTCGTGTATGGTAACTGCCAATGTAGCTGGCTTGATAGTTGCCAATGTTTTCATGTATGATTGCTGCCAATGTAGCTGCCTTGATAGTTGCCAATGTTTTCATGTAATGATGTGATTGTTAGTTGAGTATCATGGAAACAGAGTGAAAATGTAAAATCAGTAAAAGAGTGAGTGAATAGTTGCGAAATCAGCATTAACATTTATATATAGAAAATCACAAGTCTAACTTTGGAGATGTTGAATTAGTTAAGCTATGAGACATACTCAACAGTGAATTTAATGCTTAGGTTATGTTAAGCTATCTTGTAAAAATCAAGAGTGTATGGGATCCCACAAATTATGTCTAGCATCAGGACTCCCCATTCTCCCCCTTTCTCCCCTTTTCTCTTACTCAAGCCTTAGTAAATGAAACTTAAGGGATAAGGATGCAGAGTCCTAAGATATAGCTACCTTCACAATGTATTATATTGTTGATAATATATTTATTTTAATGACAACATATATTGTTGACAATATAAGGTAGATTATGTTTTGCTCAAGATCAAACTTTTACTCCCCATGTATAATTTGAAATTATTATTTGTTGAAGTGCATTTTCTAGAGTTTGTAAACTGTGTGGCTGAAATAGGGATGGTGTCACAACAAATTTGACATTTACACTCTACTATACCTTGCATTTATTGTTCATAAGCAACCCATTTGGCTTAATAGTAATGATTATGTTATTTGTTTTTATTTGTTTGTTCCTTATGAATGGTTTATCGGAAGACTGTTAGATGTTAATAAGGTACTTGCAAAAATATACTAAACAATACAATGAGACAAACAGAGTATCTTATGCATTTCTAAGGGTTAGGTATAGTGGAGTGTTTAAAAGATGGATATTGGTAAATAGTTTTGTGCAAAAATATGTTTTTCAAGATGATTGCCATTTAAAAATGGTAGAATTTTTTGCAAGAATTTAAATGTTCTTGTTAACTCTCATTTATCAAGGAAATAGCAAATTTGAGGTAAAAGAGTGTGTTGTTTAGTGTATTGAACTTGACTTGGCTTTCCTGCAACTGTTTAAATTAGACACCATCCCTAATGAAATGAATGTTATTAAAATTAAATGGTGCTAACAATGTATACTATATGTCATAATAATTATGATATTTTGATTTGATCACATTAACATGAATGTATTAATGTTTTGTAAGGAGTATTTGTGTGATCACATTTATATTGAGTGATTATAATATCTTTCTTTAGTCTACCAGTCTACCCTACCTAACTAGACCAGTCCAGTTAATCATACCAACTTTGTCCTGATGACATCCTCACAGTTTCAAGGCAGAAATAGGAAGATATTGCCATCTTTCAAAAACTTCCGAAGATTTTCTTAAGAAACACTGCAATGTCTAACATCATAAATCTGACTTTTGGCTGTGGCTTGTAAAAAGTAGGTCAAAGACATTCTTGTTTCCTGATCACAGTATGATACATGAACAATTTTTAAATAACAGATGTTTTCATGATTATAATTTACCAATACCTAAAATAATTGTGTCAATATTTGTTACATTTTATGTTAAATTGACAAACTGCTATATTGTTTACTAATGAAAGGACAACCAAAATTAGGTCTACTAGCATTCAAGCCTAGGGTCTCATTAGGGAAACATCCAGTTTTCTAAGCTACTTTCTTTGGTCAGTAAATGGATGTGGTCACGTTTTTAGTATGTGAAAGTGAAATAATACAGTGAAAATGAGACTTGGGTGTGTAACAAAATATTATATGGTTTATCTCCATTGAAGCTGTTTTTGACCTCTGTGTTCCCGAAGAGAATATTTGAATTGTATAACAAACACAATTTATCCATATTTATTTGAATTTAAAAAATCTCCGTTATTAGTTAAAACCAGAACCAGCGATATTAAATAAGATATGAAAAATGTGCTTACAAGACATGTGAATATTCAGAAAATCTCTCAAAAGTTATTACCAGACGCTCAGTTTCTCTATTTGGTTGTTAGTCTTCATATTGGGAAACTAAACAGAGATACAAGCATTTCTTGATTATAAACAGAATATTCTTGTCAATTGAATATTGTAATTATCTTATTCATACTTGTAAATATGATTTGTAATTTGTACTGTTATATACAGATGGACTGTATAATTGCTTATGAAATATAAAGATTGTTGGATAAATGAGTGTTCATTCTTCTATTTTATACCATATATAAAGAAGAGTACAAGTACAGGAAGGCCCTAATATCATTATGTAAAGTAGAACACCTGTAGAGGAAGACCCTATACGTTTCAACGAGGGTACAGCGTGGGAGTAATACTACAGTATTTGCCATGTGTTTGGAATACCGACTACCTCATTACTACCGATCTCTCATCGTGGTAAGCCACGCCCTCTCCATCTCTATCCTTATCTGTGATGCAACAGAGAGAGATGCTATGAGTATCAGAATGCCGATCTCTCCAGATTTGTTATTTCCAACAAACGACTATTTTCATAGCCCTATGTTTAATCATATTTAATTATTGAAGTAAAGGTATGAATTGCCCTGTTCAAAACATACGAGAGGTGATTCAAAAGTAATGGACACCATTTTACAGCCATACTAGCTAGACATTACCCAATCTATCTAATATTTTACAAACATTAGCTCATTCAATTATCTAATAAGTATCAAATTCTTATTAAACTGCATTTGATATTGTTTTAGCTATGCAGTACCATGGTAACTAACTAAGGTAAGAATTGGCGGAATCCACTTTTGAATGATACATGTAATTGAAAGGTTTTGTAATTTCTGTTTAATTTCATGTTAATTGGTCTATAGATGGCTATTACAATGCAGTTGTCAAGAAGGACTCATCCATTTGTATGCAAGTGAGTTCTAAATTCAGCAGCCCATTGTGCTGAAACATCCCAAATTTTCTAGAAGTGTGAGTCGCAGAGAGTCGGGAACTGAGCCAAACTTTAGATGGACACATCCAGGTCTCTTTTTACAAGAAAGGATAGGTATCGATATGGAGAACTGAATTCAACAATGTTTTTCTCTTAAACCAATCATTGAAAACATTCTGTAAAAAACATGGTATTTTATATAATGTTGACTGATTGACAACAATTTAATGCGAAAATTATTTAGAAATATTTTATATAACTGTTTTTGTTAACATTGTTTTTTTTCTTAGTGCAATTGTTTTTGCTCCTTTCTACCAATTCTTGAGAAATAAATAAAATGTCTTTCCGAACCTCGTTGGAACAAAATAGCATATACAACATGTTTTTAGACCTCTCAATATTAAAGTTTTACAAAGGAATTTTTGGTTGATTTTAAAAAAAGTATTCAAAAAATCAAAACAAAATCCCCCCAAAATAGATAATAAAAATCAAGAAAAACCTTTTATTTCATTAACAAGATACTTTTTTAAAATCAACTAAAATTTCCTTTGTACAATTACAATATTGAGAGACCTAAACATGTTGTGTTTATGTCGTTTTGTTCCAATGAGGTTCGGAAAGATGTTTCATTTCACTCTGGAAACATGATACCAAGAACAAAACAAGTGTTTGGTGTGTTTTTAAAACAATATAGATGAAAGTATGTATATCTATTTAAAATTATATTGTTATCATTCAAAAGATCGCCATTAAATTGACAATTTGTAAGATTTTCAGAAATTGTTGATGACTGGTTTCAGAGAAACGTGTGTTCAAAAAGTTCGCCATATCGATACCCATTCTTTAAGTTAAAAAGAATTATTCGGGAAAATCAAAGCCAAATCGAAACAAGGCAAGCCATTTAGAGATGGTACAAGCACTTCAGTGGAGGTGGTGAGTGGATGCAGTGCAGTGGATGAGCATTAGATCTTCAGACATATGGAAAGCCACAGACCGGCCACTCTGATAACTATTATGTATCTTGAAGAAGCCATCTTAATGCTACCAGGTGATTGCCACTGGGGGAAATAAGTGCCATTACAGACGACTAATATATTACACAAAATCTAAATGAATGATCAGGAATGATGCGGATTGTGGGTGAACTAATTGTACTACCAAAACGGGAGAAATGACATCTTGAAATGTATTTATATTTATGTAATACAGTTTTCACAACTTAGAGATAATTGGTTAATTTTCCTTTGTACCTGAGCGTAAGCATGTCTATAAAATGTTGTCCATTACTTTTGAATCACCCCTCGTAGCCATGTTTAATTAAAACAACTTAAACGTAATTCGCAATGCATTTTTATACCCCTTTAACTTATTTACATTCCAAATATTTATACATAATCATACATTTGTACCTTCACCAATTTATAGATACAGTAATCAGTCCAACCGTTTCTAATGGTAAAGCTACTGTTAGTGTAAACAAACACGTTATAATCTTAAAGGCTTCATTGTCAAATTCTACGTCTACTGAAATAGATCCACCTAGAGCCCAAATGGTCATTCATCAGTTTTTCGTTGTATGATGGCAAGCTTTATGTATTGTTTGATACGACGACGCCATGATTAATTTTTATGTCACCACCAAAAGTGGTGACATATTGTGGTGGTCTCCGTTTTTTTTGCGACGGCGGTTGGTGGTTGGCGTCCGGCGGTTGGCGTCCGGCGGTTGGTGGTTGGCGTCCGGCGTCTGTAACAATTTCTTACAACTTCCTATAACTTAACAAATACTGTTTAGACTGACTTCAATTTTTTTCTAAATCATCTACATGTTCTCAGAAGTTCAAATCTGACTTTAGATTTGACATTTGACCTTCAATGACCTTCTCAAGGTCAAAAAGGTCTTTTTTCAACTTGCTTCACATTGACTAAATTTTTTTTCAAAATCATCTACATGTTCTCAGAAATTCAAATCTGACTTTAGATTTGACATTTGACCTTCAAATCTGACTTAAGATTTGACATTTGACCTTCAATTTTTTTCAAAAATGACATTTGACCTTCAATGACCTTCTCAAGGTGAAAAAAGGTCAAAAAGGTCTGTTTTCAACTTGCTTCAAATTGACTAAAAAATGTTTTCAAAATCATCTACGTGTTCTCAGAAATTCAAATCTGACTTTAGATTTGACTTAAGATTTGACATTTGACCTTCAATGACCTTCTCAAAGTCAAAAAAGGTCAAAAAGGTCTTTTTTCAACTTGCTTCAAATTGACTAAATTTTTTTTTCAAAATCATCTACATGTTCTCAGAAATTCAAATCTGACTTGAGATTTGACATTTGACCTTCAATGACCTTCTCAAGGTCAAAAAAGGTCAAAAAGGTCTGTTTTCAAATTGACTAAATTTTTTTTTCAAAATCATCTACGTGTTCTCAGAAATTCAAATCTGACTTAAGATTTGAAATTTGACCTTCAATGACCTTCTCAAGGTCAAAGAAGGTCAAAAAGGTCTGTTTTCAACTTGCTTCAAATTGACTAAAAAATGTTTTCAAAATCATCTACGTGTTCTCAGAAATTCAAATCTGACTTTAGATTTGACTTAAGATTTGACATTTGACCTTCAATGACCTTCTCAAAGTCAAAAAAAGGTCAAAAAGGTCTTTTTTCAACTTGCTTCAAATTGACTAAATTTTTTTTTCAAAATCATCTACATGTTCTCAGAAATTCAAATCTGACTTGAGATTTGACATTTGACCTTCAATGACCTTCTCAAGGTCAAAAAAGGTCAAAAAGGTCTGTTTTCAAATTGACTAAATTTTTTTTTCAAAATCATCTACGTGTTCTCAGAAATTCAAATCTGACTTAAGATTTGACATTTGACCTTCAATGACCTTCTCAAGGTCAAAAAAGGTCAAAAAGGTCTGTTTTCAACTTGCTTCAAATTGACTAAAAAATGTTTTCAAAATCATCTACGTGTTCTCAGAAATTCGAATCTGACTTTAGATTTGACTTAAGATTTGACATTTGACCTTCAATGACCTTCTCAAAGTCAAAAAAGGTCAAAAAGGTCTTTTTTCAACTTGCTTCAAATTGATTAAATTTTTTTTTTCAAAATCATCTACATGTTCTCAGAAATTCAAATCTGACTTGAGATTTGACATTTGACCTTCAATGACCTTCTCAAGGTCAAAAAAGGTCAAAAAGGTCTGTTTTCAAATTGACTAAATTTTTTTTTCAAAATCATCTACGTGTTCTCAGAAATTCAAATCTGACTTAAGATTTGACTTAAGATTTGACATTTGACCTTCAATGACCTTCTCAAGGTCAAAAAAGGTCAAAAAGGTCTGTTTTCAACTTGCTTCAAATTGACTAAAAAAAATTTTCAAAATCATCTACGTGTTCTCAGAAATTCAAATCTGACTTTAGATTTGACTTAAGATTTGACATTTGACCTTCAATGACCTTCTCAAAGTCAAAAAAGGTCAAAAAGGTCTTTTTTCAACTTGCTTCAAATTGACTAAATTTTTTTTTCAAAATCATCTACATGTTCTCAGAAATTCAAATCTGACTTTAGATTTGACATTTGACCTTCAATGACCTTCTCAATGTCAAAAAAGGTCTAAAAGGTATTTTTTCATCTTGCTTCAAATTGACTAAATTTTTTTTCAAAATCATCTACATATTCTCAGAAATTCAAATATGACTTTAGATTTGACATTTGACCTTAAATGACCTTCTCAAGGTCAAAAAAGGTCAAAAAGGTCTTTTTTCAACTTGCTTCAAATTGACTAATTTTTTTTTCAAAATCATCTACATGTTCTCAGAAATTCAAATCTGACTTTAGATTTGACATTTGACCTTTAATGACCTTCTCAAGGTCAAAAAAGGTAAAAAAGGTCTGTTTTCAACTTGCTTCAAATTGACTAAAAAAAAATTTCAAAATCATCTACGTGTTCTCAGAAATTCAAATCTGACTTTAGATTTGACTTAAGATTTGACATTTGACCTTCAATGACCTTCTCAAAGTCAAAAAAGGTCAAAAAGGTCTTTTTTCAACTTGCTTCAAATTGACTAATTTTTTTTTTCAAAATCATCTACATGTTCTCAGAAATTCGAATCTGACTTTAGATTTGACATTTGACCTTCAATGACCTTCTCAATGTCAAAAAAGGTCAAAAAGGTATTTTTTCATCTTGCTTCAAATTGACTAAATTTTTTTTCAAAATCATCTACATGTTCTCAGAAATTCAAATATGACTTTAGATTTGACTTTAGATTTGACATTTGACCTTCAATGACCTTATCAAGGTCAAAAAAGGTCAAAAAGGTCTGTTTTCAACTTGCTTCAAATTGACCAAATTTTTTTTTCAAAATCATCTTCATCTTTTCAGAAGTTCAAATTTGACTTTACAAGTTCTCAGAAATTCAAATCTGACTCAAGTTTGAACTCATAATATTGTGAGCAACTAGGTGGTGACATTTTGTCATGTTAATGCCTTGTCTTGTTTTCAGATGACACGATTTTTGTTCACTCGAGATATTCTCCCAGTTTCCATTTATACTGAAATAAAATATTGTGTGATTTTACATATAGCAATACAAAGGATAATATAACACCCAAGAGAAACATGTTGAGAGAGTGGATATACACATAATATCCCTGAAAATCTAAGGGTATCTGTTCACAGACACGACTTACATGCATTTCATTATACTTGTACTAGTGCAAAGAAGGGGTAACCATTGGTCTCATTGTGACATTGTACCATTACCACGGGTTAGTAGAGTATCTGCGTATATTGAGTATGACCGGTTCTAAGCTTACGAGTGTGACCGTATTTCTGTTCCTATAAACAGACGAGGTGAGTACTTGCTTTTTATGAACACTTTCGAACGTTTTCTTTTTATCCTACTTGGTCAATGAATGATACTTAGTATACTTATAATGCCAGGCATATCACAAGGGGCCTCAACTCCGAAGAGGATGACACATCTTATGCATAATATATAGCTAGATCTACGAATAAGTCATGAATATTTTAAATAATTTAGCCTGCTCTGTCCAAATATGATACATCTTTGAATTTTTGAGAATACGAATGTCACTGGTGCCCCATTATTGGAGAATACGGTTGTGAAACAATCAGTGGGCCGTGTTACACTCGTTTCAATGACATTTCACAAGCGTATCCTCTGGGAAAAGATAAATCCTTCTCTTGCTCACTCTACGGGGATCATATAAACTGAGATTTGGAGATCTTGTTCAGGTTAGCCATAAAAAGGTTTGGGATTTGTTTTTTTCTACTGTGATATTAATGAGTTGGCTCTAAGGCGAGAAATCTGTACTTTCTGATTGATATTCCATTATGAACAGTTGCATTGCTAAAATAGCTCATGTTTAACATCTTTTTTGTTACATTACTTAAGAAATATAGACCAAAGAGCAGGGTTTCTAGTTTCGAATAACACCCCGCTGGTCTCGGCACAAACGTTTTCTGTACCCCGAACGACCGAAGGGAGTGAGGGGTTCGAAAGCTTTTGTGCCGAGACCAGCGGGGTGTTATTCGAAACTAGAAACCCTGCTCTGAGGTCTATATTACGATTCGAACATGAAAACTCACCAGAATAATGCAAAATTCTTTAATTTCATGAGCGAGATCTTATTAGAGTTCACTGATGCATAATGACCCACATTATGATTGGTTGAGCACTTTAAAGTTATTAATTAGTATAAATTAATACGCTTGAATGTGTTGTGGTCAATCTCAACCTATAACCGGGCCTATTCCGAAGCTTTCAACTATGAACTATATAACATGATAAGTACAGTATATTGTTTGATACATATACCTACCGAAATTAAAGAATTCTAATTGAGCATCCTCCTTGTAAAAACTAAAGACTTCGAAGCTTGATCCTCAATATGAAAGTGTATATACAGAGTATAGTCTTGATCCCTTCCTGGGAGTGTCAGTAACACTGATTCCTCTATCCCTACTTGGGAGAGCCAATAAATAAATCTCTATCCCTGCCTGGGAGAAACCAAATACACTGCGCTCTAATCTTCCGTAGATAAGTCAGTTTGCGCGAAACGTAAACAAGGTATAGAGTCCTATCTCTTTAAGTCTAGTCTTCATCATACTAGTGGTATCTCTTCTGTTGTCTGAGGTTACGTCCTGAAATCATAAAGCAATAATTAGCGATATGAGGGCGGGAAAGGGTGGGAGTAAGTGAACTCTAATAAGATCTCGCTCATGAAATTACAATTTCATTGGCGAGATATCTTAAGAAATTAAAGAATTTAATTTCGCAGCGATCTTATTAGAGAGTTCACTGATGCATGTTTAAAGTTACTAACCTCAGAACAATTGATGAGAAATCGTTAGTTTCTCGCTTATAAAACTTGTAAAAAGTTGAGACATTTGTCCAATTTGCTGTTTCAATAATTTGACTAGTTGACAAGCCCGATACCCATGCCTTAGATGTTGATGCTGCCCTTGTTGAGTGTGCTTTAAAAATACCTGTGTCAATTCCAGAATCACTCATTACCTGCTTAATCCATCCTGCTATGGTACAGGCCTTAACTGGATTGAAAGGTTTAACATTAGATAGGAACAGTTTTGATTTTTGTTCTTCTGTTGTGCGTATAGACTGAGTTAATGTTAGATATGTTTTCATTGCTTTGACAACGTCAAGATATTGATTTTCTTCAAATTCCTTGAATTTTAAATTTGTATAAGGTTTTGACTGAGTTGCCGTTTTGGATAAACCATCTAATTGAGCGATAATTTCTGAGCCTTTGTCTAGAAACAGTTTTGGGTTTAATCTATGTAACTCTGATCCCCTGCAAGCACTTGTGAGTGCCATTAGTATTGCCAACTTACTGGAGAGCTGTTTTCTGCTCAAGGACTTATTTTCACCCAGGCTTTGAATATAATGTAATACTCTGTTGACTTCCCATGTGTTTTGATACCTAGGCTTTGGTGGATTTTCATTGAAAAAACCTTTCATTTAGTCGTGAATTTTGGGATGTTGCCCTACCTTATGTCCATCTATTTGTTCGAGATATGCTGACAAGCTTGATCTATATGTGTTAAGAGTAGAGTATGACTTACCTTCCTGGTACATTTCTGTTAGAAAATTAGCAACATTGACCACAGTGGTTGAAATGGAATCAAAACCTTGTTTACCACACCAGCTAACCCAGACCTTCCAGGGGCCATTGTAAGCAGATCTTGTACCTGTCCTCCTGGCTTTGATAAGCATTTCTGCAGTTTTCTCTGAAAAGCCTTGGTTTTGATACTTACTCCTGATATCCTCCATGCTGCTAAGGTTAGATTGCTCTGTTCTATTAAAGGATGTACCTGACCTAGTGGCGATGTCAATAGATTGTGATGAGGAGGAATTAAAATTGGACAATCCACAGCCATTTCCAACAGCTGAGGGTACCAAACTGCTGTTTGCCATGTTGGAGTTATGAGAATCAGTTCTGCTGATTGTCTCCGATCCTTACCTTTGCCAATGTCCGTTGTATCAGGCAAAATGGTGGAAAGGCATATAATAGCTTCATGCTCCAATTCTGAGAGAATGCGTCTATCGCTGTTGCATGAGGATCCATTTTCCAGCTGTAATACATCTCTTTCTGAGCGTTCAGTCGGTCTGCAAACAAGTCTATGTGTGCTGCTCCCCACTTCTTCTCTATTTGTGAGAAAATGCTCTTTTCCAGCATCCAATTCGATGCATCTTGGTATTTCCTTGATGCACGGTCTGCAATCAGGTTTGATTTGCCTGGGAGGTACTCCGCAGTAATTGTGATCCTTTTCATGAGGCAGTAGTTGAATAATTCCAGACTCGTTTCTAGGAGATTCAGTGACTTTGTTCCCCCCATCTTGTTTATATATGTTAATGCTGTTTTGTTGTCCGTTCTTATGTGAATATGACAATTTGTTTGATTCTTGGTGAATGACCTGACTGCCATTTCTATGGCTTTCAATTCTAATATGTTTATGTGTTGGTTTGATTCTTTCAAACTCCACTGACCCTGAATGACATTCCCTTGTGACTCCGCCCCCCAACCAGTTAGAGAACTGTCCGTGGTTATTATTATGTCGGGGTCCGTCACTTTGATTGCTTTCCCGTTCCAATTGTCTATTTCTTGCTCCCACCACATAAGTTCTTCCTTTACTGGTGTTGTAATTTTGATAACCGAGGAGTATGACTGATTGAACATTTTTAATCCTTGAGTTTTCAACCTTTGAAGGTGACGATAATGAAGGGGTGCTGGGATTATAGCCATTGTACATGCCGCCAGTTTGCCTATTACCATGGCTAAATGACGGACTGTTGTGAATTGTTGTTTCCACAGGTTGTGACATACCTGCTTGATTGATTCTACTTTCTCTGGGGGGACTTTCATGTTCATGTCGTTAAATATGCATCTTTTAAATCCAACTTTATCATGAAGTCGTTGGGCTGTATTAAGTTCTTTAACATTGCCAACCCTTCCATTTTGAAATGTTGATATTTCACATATTGGTTCAGAGGTTTTAGGTTCAATATTGGTCTTTGAGACCCATCTTTTTTCTCCCTCAAAAACAGATGGGACAAATGTTGATCTTTGTTTGACTTTACAATTTCTAATGCGTTTTTTTCTATCAACTTTTTTATTTCTAAGTCTATGGCTTGATTTTGAGTCTTGTTGAAGCAAGGCCATTATATATGATTGTTCATTGGTGGTTTTGCTGTGAATTCTATTTTGTAGCCTCGAACTATGTTTAGAATTTCTGAATCTTTTGTGACTTTTTGCCAGTTTTGAATGAATTTTGGCAGTCTTGCCCCTACCGTGAAGATTTGCGGTATTTTCTGAAAGCCAAGCTTCAACAAAATGTTTACCTGATCTACTTGATTTGTGTCTTGCTTTCGCCAGTTTGGGATACTTGACTTAAGCTTATTAAATGATTTGTCAACATACCTGTTTGAGCTTTGGTCTTTATCAGCATCTCTGGCTGCACCTCGACCTCGGCCTCTGGATTTATCAGAGTTGCTTTGCCACTCTCCTTGCTGGTTTCTCTGACTGGCACTTGAAGAGTGGCCCCCACGAAAGGGCTTGCTAAAATACCTTGAACCTCTAGATCTTTCAGTTTTGAGGTTTTTTCTCAAAAAAGCCATATCTTTCCTTTCTTTGGCTAACGATTTCAGATTCTTGACACTTTTCTCTCCGAACAACTATTTTGGTGTACTAATGAACCGCTTCTTATTGACTCTGAGAAACTCTTTGATTTCTTGTTTGTCAAAGCTCAATATTGGAGCCAAAAGCTCATAATGTCTGTAATACGATAGCATTTGGTTTGTCTGACCCGCAATAAGAATTGCTTTTTGAATAAGCGTTTTTATCATTTTCTTGTCCAGATCATTAGACTCTATCAGTTTCCAAATAGTGCAAAGAGGACCCATAACATCTATCAGTTTGTTTTGGACTGTTTGCCAATGCTTGTCATTTTTATTGGCAGCTTTACTTGAAAGTTTTGTAATCTGCCGATTCACTTTTTGCACTTTCAAAGTTTCACACTTCGGTAAAGGAACCTTGTCCACCATTTTATCATACGTTTCTCTAGTCAATGTTTCTTCTGCCCAATATTTCTTTATAAAGGCAGAGTGTGATTTATCCAACTTCCACTGGTTCTTTTTAGACTCGGATAGTGGATCAAAAAAGGATTTGTCAGTACTTGAATCTGAGCTTGAGTTTGAGCTTGAGCTCGAACTATCACTATCATCTGAGCTACTAGATGATGTATCATATTTCCTTGATTTTGATCTGTGTTTCTTTTTAGGAATTTTAAATGAATCCAAACCTCCAGCTGATCCAAAGCTAATGATATCATCATTTTTCTTCCTTTTGACACTTTTTTCAAGATGATCCACATTTTCATGTGATTTCCTCTTGTTTAGCCTAACATGTTTTGGGTTATCAAGACCTTTGTTAGTTTGTCGGCTATCTAAGCCATTATTGTTTTCATCAGGGCTACCTAAGCCTTTAGCCTGGCTATCTAAGCCTTTGTCACTGTATGAGTCATGACCTCGGCCATCTTGAAATTCTTGACCGGAACAAGTTTGTTCTCTTTCAGACTCCATTATCCAAATGATAATAACTTGCTGATACAAAAACTGTTATCTAAACAATCAATTCTACTGTTCCAAAGTATTCAATAATGATAAACCTCAGAAATACTTACATAAATTCGAAATTATTTAGAAAATTTCCAGCGTGCATTTTCCATGACACGAAACATGTTTACTAGTTGAAAGCAACGGTAAAATAGACCCGGTTATATGTTGAGATTGACCACAACACATTCAAGCGTATTAATTTATACTAATTAATAACTTTAAAGTGCTCAACCAATCATAATGTGGGTCATTATGCATCAGTGAACTCTAATAAGATCGCTGCGAAATTAAATCTTCAATTTCGTTGTTCATTTCCAATTTTTTCATTTCTACTTCCGGTTAGGCGTTTGGCTGTTCCAATTTGTTTACTTACCTCTTGACCCCGACGTAAGTTTTTTTATTGACATTTCGGCCTATCCCAATTGAAAAAAGCCTATGGAAAATCATCTCCAATTATCACCTAACTTACTATTGATAATTAGTTGAAAGTTAGGTGTAAAAATTCACATGCAAATGAGCTAATTATCAACTCAATTAACGCTTAATTTGCAACTTAATTAACGATTAACTACCATCAATATGCAAATGAGCTATTTACGTAAATTAGTTGAAAGTTAGTTGTAAGTTTGATGTAAGTTAATCTCTAATTATCACCTAACTTACTATTGATAATTAGTTGAAAGTTAGGTTTAAGTCAGATTTGTGACATCTCAAAAATGACTCGCTTCTTTTTTGCTTTCTCTTCACTCGGAGATTTTTGCTTCATCTTGAACTATTTTGTGACGGAATATTCATCTTAATTAGGATCTTTCAGAACAGACAACATTGAACTTGAACTATTGAAATTTCACAGCAAGAGGAGGGAAAACCCCATGATTCAATTGATGACATACGATTTCCTCCTTCGCACACCTCCTTTTGTCGAAAACGTACCCTCCATCTTGGTTTTCAAAGTTTTCAAATTGACCTAGTTTTAAACCAATCAACAATCGACTCACTAAACCAATCAGCGACGATGTCATCTCAATACAGATTTACATTATATGCGTATGTCATCTTTGAACCCTGGGGTTTCTCCCCCTCTATTTAGCAAATTTTTAAGATTCATGAAAAGCATGTGAAAACATCATTATTGCCATCAACAACTAAAATCAGAACACAACCATTAGACTATAATGTTACATAATAAGGACGTAACAGATATAATCAAAAATATGTTTTGAAATGTCTTTGATCTAACAATCATTATTTAGAAGAGCACATTTGGATTACTTGTGAAATATAGGTAACCCATGTTAGTACCTAAATTGCATTCTAGGATTAATATTATATGATCTGATTCAAAAAGATTTTTAAATTCATAAACATTTCAGACAGAAGTGTGAATAAGATTTAACATACATTGTATTCATGTTCTACATACCCTTATAATAATGTTGACCAAATTTCATGGTAGTATACGCACCATTCACGTTGTAATTCTCAATTTTATGAGAGAAATATCTCTCACATGTTTTCTTTTCCCACCATCTTGAAATTAAATTTAGGGGGTTTGTATTTCTAAATCATGGGCCTAATTTACGACTAATTATCATTATAATCATCCTATATGTTAACTATCAACCAATAATCTACTTCAGAACAAAAATGTTTTAATTTACCACTTACTATCACCCTAAAACATTTCATATCTTAATTATCAACTAAAAATCATAAATCAGCATTATTGTAAGTTAATTTACGTTGAACTTGCTACTGATAATTAGGCCATAATTATCATTGATTTAATTAACGCTTAACTTTAATTCCAATTGCCAGCAGAATTGTTGATAATTAGTTGTAAATTAGTTGGTAATAAGTTGGTAATTACTTTTATTTTTCAATTGGGATTTTATTGGTTTCACGCATATCTACTACACTGATAATTATTGAAATTAATTCTATATTGCCCAGAATCAAAAAGATCACAGCGGATATCCATATAACGGAGTAATCACTGCATTTTGCTAAGTTCTTACGCCCTCTATACTATGACCTTTGAATTAATTTTGCATTTCGCCATCTATTGAGGCATTTAAAAAGCAAACATGTAAACAAAACTTCTGACATTTTTTGTAAACATTGTAACTTGTATTAGCCATAAAGTAATAAATACAAAAAAACAATAAAGTTAAAACTCATGTACAGTAATCTTATGTCTCTTGGTCCTTATCATTGTTTATCAGTTCATCAGTTTATCAGTTTTAGTTATAATAATTTAATGAAACCTGACAATTTTGAAAATTGTTGTGTGTAGCACTACTTGTAGCACTGCTGTTTGCTACTACAGTTCCTCCTGGTATAATACTAGTAAGTGGCACTGACATATTTCCTTGATTAGGTGGTACAATTGCTTTTCTACAATGAAGCACATTTGACAGATCTGTCTTCTTCTCTATAGTAGGAGCCTCTGCATAGTGCTTAAGGCTGCTTGGATTTCTATGACCAGTTACCAACATAATGTCACGGTCTTTTACACCCGCACGATCCAGAAGAGTGACGCATGTAGCTCGAATACAATGGTTTGTATATTTGCGTGACAGAGAAGCAGCCTCTGATATAGTCGCCATCATTGAGGCTAGCTTGTTGTGACCAAGGGGTCTGAAATAATATACAAATGTCTCTTGAACTGGCATTGAAATTTTCTATCAAAACAATTTTCATATGGATTTTGGGATAAAATACTAAATGGCTGTAGTCATGATCAAATAGTGTACGTGCCTGGCAAACATTTGTTCATTTATTGCATATGATAAAAAAATCCACATTACCAAAATAAGTCCATTATTACATACCTGTTCATGAACCATGATCCATTTGGCCTATCTTTGGTCACAGTGTCAGGTGTCTGGAAGAAGCTGTTGCATTTCTCATTAACTTTAGATAGGTAGAACTCAAATGACTCCACACACTCACTTGCTGCCATGATAGGACTTTTATTTGTTTCTCTAGGATCTAATCCTTTATGGGTTTTGTCATATTCGTTAAATGTTTGTTGAACATATTTTTGTCCATTTTCATCAACTTTTACTTCAAACGAATTCACATCGAGTTTTCGTAAACCTTCTCTGCCCCTTCTACCAAAATGTAGACAAATGTCAAAGAACACTTTTCTCACCAATACTGTCGAGTTAACTTTCCAATCGGCAAAATAATCGTTCAGTTTCATCATATCTGAATCATTAATGGCGGGTTTATGCATAGTTTTGTCATGACCATCACGCCTTATTTTCTTCAACATTCCTTTCAATACATTATTGGCAGACTGAAAGTCCCTGTCGACAATTATGTTTATTTTCTTGTCATGGTTAATCAGATGTCGCTGCAGTCCTGCACGAATAGCGACTAATCCTGACTTACTGTACACTTCGCCTTTAGATGTTCTCACAGAAGCATAGAATCGCTTTAATCTAGTGTTCAATTCATCAGGTGTCATTTCCTCAAATGTTACTGCTTCCTCATTTTCTGCCAGCCAACCTGAAAATGAAAAAAAAATTGTAGATCTACACTAACTAAGCCAAGGATGAGCTGCGCGCGCACGCATAAATGTGATTATCCAATATAATTAGGGGAGGGCTATTTGAAGTAGTTTTTGGTCTCAGGCGCGACCCAGGGCTGTTGTCTTAAGGACATTTCGTTGAAAATGAGCCATTCGGCTGATAATTGGTAAGAGTTTGCGATCTTATAATGTATAACTGTTACTCAGACACATATTTTGACACGATTCTGTTGGAAATAAGCTTTGAACCGAGAGATATTCACGATTGATATGCACATTTTTGATTGTGCCATTGCTTTTCTATTGCACAATCCATGTATTGATAGAAGAAACATTAATAATACAGATTGGTTTACCTTCAATACATGGCAGACACTACATATCGGTCTATTAATACCAGTTTGTGCCTTAAATAGTTTTATATTTCCATCCACGGCCTGGAGCCTGGGTGTGTTTGTCTCTTATGTGTATGCTTGTGCATGGACTTCTAATCACTAGCAGAATTTAACATGATGCAAACTCGACATTATAACTCATGCTGTAACATTTTGACTTCGCTGGAAAACAATAGGAATTATTTTTCTTGCCAATCAATCATGAATCACAATCAAAATTTCAGAATGATCAATCAGGCAATGGTCCAAATCAAGTTATAACATTATATGATATTCAGCAAGAAGTCCAGTAGAAATACAGAATATTTAAACATCAAAGCTGAAAGTTAAAAGCTAATCTGTCAATTTTCTGTCTGCAAAAGAGCGTCCCAAGAGCGTTTACATTTGACACAATAACAGACTGAGGCTTTGAAATCTAGGATTCCCCAGGAAAATATGACGTCATACTAATTAGCATAAGGATTTCCCTATTGGTGTTGGTCGAGCCTTGTTCGAAAACACAATCCATAAATACATGCTAATTTCTGAGGAGATAGGATGTGTATAACGTGTTTATCGATTTTGTTTAAAGATTTAATCAATTATCAAACTGTTTAAGTGGATAAAGTGGTCACACTTGCTTCAATTCATAGCGAAATCGACGGATAGAAACTGACCGAATTCCCGATATCCTACCCCGTATTACTGTAGGCTATAAGCACAGTGACCTACAGAGGGCGCTATCACAAACAAGTACTGGACGAACCGATAAATTCCCGGGTATTGTAACGCCCTTGACTAAGCTAGCCTAAGAAAACAAAAATAACCTAAATGATAAAAAAAAGAAAAAAAGACAAACTAAGTGATCTTGATAACTTGGGATTATTTAATTTATTTTGCAGTCGAACTTAGCCGGCGTAAGCCTACCTTTGAAAATATTCACACTCCATCTTGTGGCTGCTTTTGTGGAGGGCTCTTCTCTACAGTCTTGTAAGTTTTTGATTTCTGCTTCTTCTACTTCGCTATGGCGTTTCACTTTCACTTCCGCTGGACAAGATGTATCATTATCGATAACTGTTTTCTCAAAAACATCAGCATTGTCGAAAAAATCACTAAATTCCTGGCTTAATTCCAAATTCCAGGTGGCGAAATCCATACTCAACTGTGAATCAATCATAAATACGGAGTACCTATTTGTTCCTGTTCTATTGGTGATGCTTGTAATATAAC